CGATATTTAATGAGTTACATATGATTATATGGCATTTTATTGATGTTGACAAAATCCGACCATCCCAGCGTCGAAACGGCGAACTTTTGGGAAAAAATTTCGTTTTTCCTCAATAACTCCTAAACCCTTTGAAATACGGGAAAATTGCAACCTTTCTTGTAGAGGACGACGAGATCTACAATTTCTGTATAAAAGTTTGTCGCTAGCATTAATAGTTTACGAGTTATTGACGAAAAACGAAAAAACAGTTTTTTGCAAATAACTCGTTAACACTCGACGCTAGCGAAAACTTTTTATACAGAAATTATAGATCTCGTCGTCCTCTACAAGAAAGGTCATATGCAATTTCTCGTATGTCCAACGGTTTGGGAGTTATTGGCAAAAAACTTGACAAAAAAAAAATTTTGCAAAATCTGAAGGGGTACCCCTTAGAAAAATCTCGGAAAAATCGAACAATTTTTTTTGTTGTTTATTATTAGCAATGTTCTTCCGACGTCTGATTTCTTTTAAAAAAATGCGTTTCTAAAGTGCATAAACTTTTGGGATTGACTATATAGCCAATACATTCTTAATGAGATCGTTGATAGGATTTGGTAAATCTGTAGAATGACAAATGCATGCTGCTCTCTATTTTTCTAATCACTGATTCAACTTAGACGAGATATCAAATTGATATAAAAAAAAGTGTGCATACGAATACGAATGCGTGTGTTATACACATGTACATGTGTATATTTGTTGTGTTCTCATTAAGGTGCCGTATATGTACTACGAAAATTTTTCTTAGAGTAGATTTTGAAACTATTCTACTATTTCGTGGTTCTCGGAAAGGATTAATTGAAATTCGAGCATAATAATCTTGATTATGAAACAGAGAATCTTCAGGAATATTATTTATAGTATGTAATTTAAGTTTGTTATTTACTTGAAAGCTGTTTCACGGATAATCGAGATTGAATTCGATGCGTGAATTATATTTGGGACGCATTTCGGTCGGTTATTCTACAGTCGAGAGTGTAGTCCGCATTTCAGTGAATTCAATTTTTCATGCATATCAATTGCCAGATTAATCGTAATCAATAACAAAGAGAATGGTCCACGCGATATATACACGTTTTTAAATGGTATACAATCTTAGGAGTCTCATGTAAATTGAAAAACATTGAATCAGAAGGATCTGCTATAAATTATTCCCTTGACAAAGCCGTTCTTTTTTTTGAACAGCTAATTGACAATTTTTTTATAAGTGAGATTAAGCGGTCCTTCTAATTTCATGTTCTTTAATAATAGATCTTTTATTAAATCATCATTATCTAAAATACTGATTTTACATACAGTGTTGTATGTCTGTGATAGAGTCCCAGTTACGCAAGCAAAGGATTAGCGTAAATGTTCATACGATTACTTAAAATTAGCTTTGTAACAGGTAATTGAAATCTAGTCGCTGCATAACTAAACGATCTTATCGAAGTTGCTGTACTGTCCTGATAACGCTGGAATGAGTGCGGATAGTCGGTAATGTCTCGCATTGATTAGAGTAATTGTACAAGTGACTCTAAAAATTTCCTCGTCTAAATCCGAAGATCTGCTGCAACTTAAGATAAGCAACGTATACAGACTGTCCCGCAACAACTGTTGGCAATATCTCCTCTCAGACACAGAAAGATCTTAGCAGGATCAGGGATGCAGATGAAGGATTAAATCTTTAATTCAAATGAACGCCGTTTAGTTCTTGATTCAGATTTTACTGATTGAGAACTAAATTGTTTAAGTGGCTTAATTGGAAGGAATACGAATTAACGATTGAATTTCAATTCTTAATTAAAGAATACTTCAATCGTCGATTGAGATTTAGAGAAATTTAATGGTCAATGTGGGAATTGAAACATCTGCAACCTTGAGAAGGATATTATAATAGAATGAATGAGAGTTTCACTTGACTGTCTATCTGTCCTCATCGAGACTCTACGCTATCTTCCTTTTTCGAATTAACGTAAGTATCAGCTGTTGTGGAACGGATTGTAACTCTTTCTACAAATGTAAACTCTGTGATAACACGCGAAGCATAAATTTAAGCTTATTATAAAGCTGCATCGTTCCCCATGTTTTATCCAAAGTAGGCTTACAATATTTATATCCGACATGACATGTATAAAGCTGAGCTTTATCTTTCTTTGTAGACGACTAAGTAATTTTAAGGTCATTTTACGTTTTCTTTTAAGATCGTTTATAGCAAAGAAGATGTAACTTTGTACACGCGACGCAAGGAAATATTTTTATATGAAAATAACAGCTACATTTTTGTTGATTTCCTTTTTTTTTTAATTCGACATTATTTCTGTTCTCGAACGAGATTAATTTCGTCATTTGCATGCATATGTAAGATATATTTACTACCTTTGTATGTACATAATGATATATTACGTTATGAAATATATACACAAATAAAAAAAAAGAGAGAAGTGAAATGAAGAAGACAGAAGCCAGGAAAAATGTATATGGGAAGGACCAGCATTGGAGATTGTGGAAGCTACCCAGCTGATTGACAGATCTGCATGGTTTCTGAATCAGGTGAATTCAGGGCCAAATCAACATTTGTAACACGAGAGAGAAAAGAACGTTTCATTTTGTCTGTTCTCAGTGATCGAAAGTAATAAGCATATACTAGCGTTGACTAGATCTCTTCAGAACGTTTGTCAAAATTATGCCTCCTAACGCCACAGTTTCGTTTGTACAATTATAATAGCATCTCGGTGAGTAAATTTCCGTAGCATATTTTAATATATACTACGGAGCACGAATGTTCCGTGCGCTCGTCATATGTATTTGAAGTTATGAATGTTGATTTATTTATTTACGTTATTATAATATATATAATATTAGACAGTAAATATATACATATTTGGTGAGAGGTAATATTATTGTCCATTCAACTTTTCAGCTTTAATGTTAATCTGTCCATAAGAATGGTCTCATTTTTTCGTAGCTGTCTCTCAGATAAAAAGAAAGCTGGTTCATTCTTTGAGAAGAGATAATCGTTATTTTTTTGCATTGAACCGCGTGTCTCTGTTATAAAAACTATTGTAACGAACGTAGATCCGTAGGGTACGAGTAAAATGTAACAGTTTTTTTACTTTTACTTCACGTTCTGATCATTTGTCAACCTAAAGATTTCCATAGGATCGATTCAGGTGTACAGCTTAAATTTCTCTTTAAGTGATTCGACGGGAATATGAACATCTTCTGTGAATTTTTTGTCAACAGGTATCCTGGACCGTCTAGTCAGCGTTATGGTAGCCCGTTGCGAGACGCTCCTCATAAGAGATTCGACGACGTGGCACCTCCTGGAACGGAGGGCTACTACGACCTCTCGCCACCGGGAGTCGAGCTCCCCGATAGACCCCTACGCGACGATCGCGATCGTCGTCCACTGAGAGATCAAGAAGATCGCGAACATTCGGTCAAGGATCATGATACTGACGACCGAGACAGGATATCTGTTAGAGACGATAGGTAAAAGGACAATTGCTGATTAATTATTTAAGATCTCGTCAATACGATTACGATAAAATTGATTCAGCGATTATTTGCTTAGGGGACGCGAACGCGATGATCGTTTGCGTGAGAGAGACGAGAGGGACAGAAGAATTCTGAACAGGGACCGCGAGGATCGTGAGAGGCAAGGGTTGCCCAGAGACCACGATGACAGAGTACGGGAAAAGGATGACCGTGACAGAAGAGAGAAGGAGAAGGAAAGGGATGATAGACATGGCCGAGATCGACGAGAAGACGACAGACATTTGGACAAAAAGGATTATGACAAGGATCGGTATGCTTCGCTTTGTATAATACATAACGCCATTAGAGATGTGCGAGAATCTAAATATAAAAGATAATATATCTTGTATAATAAAAGTATTGGCTACTTTAGTTACAGGGATGACAGAGATCGTCACAGACAAGAAGACAAGAACCGTTCTCGCGAGAAAGACAGACGTGAACGCGATTACGAATCCGAGAAAGACAGGGACCGGCACGAGCGTTACGAGAGACGTTCTGTAGAACGAAAGAAGAGCAGGAAGAGTCCTACCCCTTATTCGCAAAAGTCTAGGACAGATACGAAAGACGCGTCGCCGGAGCGTACAAAGAAGAAGGAGAAGGATCATGAGGACAAGAGCGAGGAGAAAAAGAAAGAGAAGAAGATCAAAGAGAAGAAAAAGAAGAAGGATGATGAAAAAGAGAAAAAGAAAAAGAAGAAAAAAGAGAAGAAGTCTGGGCAGAAGGAGATCGCTAAGGAGGAGCCTGTCAAAACGACTGAGCACGAAGAATTGATAACTGAGAACAAGCAAGAGAGCATGTCACCGACGAAAACCGATGTGATGAAATCTGGGAACGAAGATGAACATTCTATCGAGAGTAGAATAGTTTGTATGCCTGCTGAGAGTACAATGGAGGAATCTATGAAAGAGGAGTTCGAAGATAAATCGTTAGCTATGAACCCGGAGCCTCCGGAATTCTGTGAGGCCAGTCCAGAAAGAATCGATCACACAGAATTCGGTACGAATCCGCCTAATCCTAACTTCAAGCCGATTCCTGAACTGAAGTCGGAGATCAAACCCATCGACAGCCTGTACAGCGGTTTGGACGATGCAGAAATAAATACTGTACTTACAGAAAAGTATTCTCTGCTCTCCGAGCACGAGACCGAGGATAAACCTCCCGTTTTAGAAGAGAAATCTCCGAAGAAGGACGAATTCTTAGCGCCGATGCCCGAGCTCTCGAAATGGGAAAGGGACGACACCACCGAGAAGCCGGAGGACGTTTGCGAATCTCCTGTCGAGAAGATACAAACGGACGAGCCGAAATCGACGAAAGTAGTCACGTCGGAAGTACTGAAAAGGGCCGAGAACGCAATTTTCCAGAAAGCGATCAACGCCATCAGACCCATCGAGATTAAGAAGATAAGCGAGAGCAGGAAGGTGCTGTATCAAAACCCGGAGCCCAAAGTGCTTGAAACTGAACCGAACAGAGAACCGAGAAAGAGCGTGAACGTTACTATAAGTGTTGGAAGGAACGAGAGGAACGTGGAGATCACGGAACCAGCCGTCAAGAAAGCTAAATTAGATCGTACGAAGTTCAAGCCAGTCCCGGAGACGTTCTCGCCCACGAGAGTGCCCGCGAAGGAGAGATTAGGTGAGAAAGTGGAGGAGACTAAAGAGAGGAAGATCAGTCCTCTTAAGAGCTTTTTGGATAGACGCGAAATGAAAACCGATAATCAGTCTAGAAGTCGGTCTCCTAGGAGCAACAGAGAAAAGAGGATTTCTCCGTTATTGGATAGACGCGTCGATTCTTCGTTAAGCATGCCGGGTAACGATCGAAGAGTGTTTTTGGATGAGAGAAAACGGGATAACAAAGATCGAGGTGATCGTTCGAAGGAGAGGAACGAGTTTAGAAACGAGCGACACGACATGAGATCCGAAAGGGATCCAAGAGTTGAATCTCGAGCAGATTTCAGATCGCGCAACGATTCCAAAGGGGAAAGGATGGACAAAGACAGAGAGAAAGATAGGGACAGGGAGAGGAGAGGAAGAACGCCGAGCACATTCAAGAGAAATGAAATGCCGAAGGTAGGCTTGTTGAAAGGGCGAGAAGATGAGGACGACAGGCGCAAGGATAAGAAAACGAAGGAAGACAGGAAGAGAAAGAAAGAGCATCGAAGTAGAAGTAAATCGAAGGAGCACAGGAAGCGGAAAGAGAAGAAGCATAAAAAGGATAAGGAAAAGAATTTGGAGAAGAAACAGAAGCACAAGGAGAATGTCGCTTTGAAGGAGAAAGCTGAGAACAATGAAACTAAGATCGGTTATGAGAATCCGGAACCTATGGTCACGGAAACTGTTAAAAAACAGAGGAAGAACCCGAGGCTGGTGTCCGACCGTAAACGCAGCATGCTCGACGAAGCTAGTTTCGAGCCAGATTACAGCGCTTCAGATTCGGAATCGGACGGTGAGGAGAAAGTGTTACCTATGCCACCGAAGAAACTGAAATTAGATGAACCTGATATGGAGAAGGAAATGGATATTAAAGCTCTTAAGAAGCGATCGAAGTCAACGACCAGCGAAGATACGTCCAGCAGCTCGGACAGTTCGACCACCGATACCGATAGCTCGGACGAGTCGCATAAGAAAAAGAAGAAAAAACACAAAAAGCACAAGAAAAAGAAGTCTGCGAAGAAGGAGAGCAGCACCGATACGGATTCTTATTCGGATTCGTCAGACACGAGCAGCGACGAGGAGAAACACAAGAAGAAATCGAAAAAGTCCAAGAGTAAGAACAAACAGTCGAAAAAGAAGAAGAAATCAAAGCACAAATGACATCACTAGATGTCTTTTGAACGTTCTAAAAAGTGAAATACCGAAATAGTCACTTTACTTTGTGAATGCTTTTTCACATAAGATTCTATATCGGAATTATTTACAATAATTGTATCCATCAAACTGAGATTGTTATCTAATATCTATGGAACGGCGTAGATGATTTATATTCTATATTCACGATACTATAACAGTGTTCAAAGTTCGTTTAAACAGACGTTAGTGGTTCCACGATCTTAGCGTCCGATAATTCATTTGGGTACAGAGAAAATTTCAAGAAATAATGAATGGGTAAAACACGAAGCATGACATTTATCTCGTTATAATTAATTTTTAAATGTTATTAAGGCCTTTACATGATTCTCCATGTTCCGATTCCACCTATAAAAATGCTGTAAGTAAATTCATTACAATAAGTGATGTACATTATAGCATCCAGTAGATAATATCTTTAAGAACTCTAGTACGATACTTATAGAGAAAGTACGACAGCAATTACGTTTAAGATCTCCAATATCTCAATATTATATTGTACTTTCGTAATGTAATGTCAATATGTAAAAGACATGATCAAATAAAGAAACCAAATTCTTTTAATTTACTCTAGTTTTCGTTTTACAATCGATTTACATGAGAAATTTACATACATTACATGGAGTGTGTACACAGAACGAATAAAGGATATTTAAATAAGTTAAAAATATGTTTATTCAATGCAGAAGTACAAAAGTAGTTTTAGATTACAATACGTCAAGTGCACAGTGCTAAAAATTTATCAGGCTCTCATGTGTTTTTTAGACTTTTGAACGTCTCCACGATGCTACACAGCAATGGTAAATTTTCACTACTCTCACTCTCGTTTAAACCCAAATTCTGAAGAAGGAGAGATCTGTCGAGGGGCTGTTTCGGTAAATCGCACTCTAAAATGAAACGATCGTTTTCCATAAATTACATGAACATTTACTCCTTAGCACACATTACTGCACACCTGAAATAAATACAGTGGAACTGTACACGTATCCCATCCAGTCTAAGTACTCGCGGATAAGCTCATTTAGGAATATAATGTCCAGGGGTGGTTTCGGAAGTTTCGCTTTATTCCCTTTGTTCGAATTGTCTAACAATTTTATAACTTCCTTACGCATCTCAGCTTTTATACGACCCAAATCTCCGTCAGCTCTTAGAGATTCTCTGACTGCTAAATGTTTAAACAAAGTTCGTGTAAAATTTCGAAAAATTGTAGAACGTTTCGTCATTAACGAAATACTTTTTACCCTGAATTTAGATCATTCTAATTAATAATTACCATTAATTAAATCCTTCTCCGTTGCCATATTCTATTTACAAATGAAAAGAAAAAGGATTGTAATTTTTTAATGGCACTGCATGCAATGCGTAGTTAAAAGCTATTTTCAAGTGCAATTAGAGATTCGTAAATTGTAGATTTCAATCTTTTGTTCGTACACGTATTTACGCACATACAATGAAACACGGTTTCATTGAATATTGTTTAACATTTTCAGAGCAGTTCGTAATTTTGCTAGGTTGAACGAGTTTGAAATTCGTGGCCGGTTTTTTGTTAGTAAATTTCCGAACGAACCATAAATAAAGGAGCCGCGTGGCCTATTTTATATCCCCCTTCCGTTTCCCAGTGCTCACCACCGTCGTCTTTACTCGTCCTTGCTAAAGTAACGTCTTTCTGCTAGTTTGACGTTCATTAGATAAGCAAGCTTGTTTCGCACAGTACGAGTCCGGTTTGTTACGAATCATTCGATTAATCCGGCTTTGTATACACTTTACATTCCCATCTGTATGCCTTGCGTACGATCTCATCTTTTCAAATTTTCCATGAGTAAGTTATTTATTGATCTCGATAGGATAGTTCGTAACGTGCGTCAGTATCGCTTGCATTACGATAAATACGTTTAATACCCTATTATGAATCTACGATGAAACGCTAGCCGGTGAATTTGGTCAGTTCTTTAAATTCTGTTGCTGCGACCAACCTAATTTATTGTTTAAACATTCCCCTGGCTGCTTCGTCGGAGACGATTCACGTTACACAATTTTTAATGCCTTTTAAATCCGGTTTATAATGAGATGCATATACGTTCGACGAGTAGAGAGACGAAGCGTGCTCCATATGTATTTATATTACAGATGTTTCGATAGTCTTCCCTCGGCTATTGGTAATGCAAACACTCTTCCTTAATTCAAAGTCCACAAGATGGTATTCACTTGTGAGCTTTAATTTTAGCTGAGAATAGAAATGTGGGAAGTTACAGGACGTTCGCAACTGGCGTAGAACATCCGACTTAACATCTCCTATGAATAAGTACGATAACCCTTGTTTGGAATCGTTATCTTGATTCGTACACGATATGTGTCTGACTTGATATTCTATTTCCAGAGTAAGATAAAATTGATTTAGCTCGGTGGTGATGCGGGGATGTGGATCTGTTTCGATGCTATAGGAAGCCGAGAAGGCTGGCAAGCTTCTACTTTATTCTTCATGTTTGTCTATTGGATATGTTTCGGCATTGATGGAAGCTTAACGAACGCGATCGCATCCAATGTCCCTCACAATACTGTTACATCAGAAGTATCGCTAACAGTTCCGACACACCATGAAGATGACGAATGTAGGAATGTGACCACTGATAATAGAGCTAGTATGCATAAGCATAACGATTCAATGTTCGCCTAGATTAATTAGTACAATTAGCTCGAGATTTATGCACTTTGCAGCTACCGGTCTGTCAGTGGTTGGGCAGGGATCTGGTTCTCCTCATTCGCCGATAGTGCCTCCAACTTTTCTGTACGGAGTTCTTACCTGCCAACCGTATCAAGGAATTTCTGTGAACCACATCTACTTTCAATTAGCGAACGCCTTTTTCCTATTGTCACACCTTGCACCAAGTGGCATACACGGTGTACTTTATTTAAGGTGCACTCTACTCGTGGGTTGTGCCTTTCTTGCTTTGTGGGGCTGGACAATAGCTTGCTGGCTGGACGCTGCTCTTTGGAATGCTCTGTTTGTTGCCATCAACTTCGTCCATGTATGCACGCTTCTTTACAAGCTCAGGCCTATCAAGTTCTCAAGAGAAGTCGAAGAGGTAAGTCGAGAGTAGAAGAGACGTATTATATTTTCATTCTGCCGGTTAGAATTAGAATTTCAATCGCGGTAAAAGTGCTTGAGCGTTTGATCGTAGCGTCGTTCTTCACACGATTGCACTTTTATACGTAGAGCAATATGTTTGCACTTTCAATACGTCATCAGCTCGACATTATATTCTTTCTATTGTGTATCAGTGATACGATTATGTTAATTTTATACCTCATTTCATTTTTTTTCATGCAGGTATATATTGCAGTGTTCCAGCCGTTAAGAGTGTCGCGGCATCAATTCAAAAAAGTATTAAATTGTATGAAAGTCATTCGACAGTTAAAGTATCAAGAAGTTTATGCCCAAGAGAAAGTGACCAAAGTTGATTCTTTATCTTTGGTACTGTCCGGAAAGTAAGTTCATCTCAAGTAGAAACATTCTTCATGAGAATACGACGATGTTTAAAAACTTGTTATATCAATTTCAGATTAGTAGTCTCGCAAAATGGAAGAGCATTGCACATTGTCTTCCCACATCAGTTCCTGGATTCTCCAGAATGGTTTGGTGTTTCTACAGATGAATACTTTCAGGTTCGTAGATTAAAGATTAAAATCTAAAGAAATTAAACGACACTCAATTAATGAACATTGACCGTATTTATAGGTGTCAATAACAGCTATGGAAGAGTCAAGGATATTATTATGGCATAGGGACAAATTAAAATTAAGCATAATTAGTGATCAATTTCTGCAGGCAGTGTTTGATCACGTTTTGGGACGAGACGTAGTTAAAAAATTGATGCAGGTACGCGCTTTGCTCAATAAACCTCTTTCTTTTTTAACAACCGATTGATTCATTAATTAAATTATGTTCGCGATGGGGCCTCAGGTTAGTGAAACGATGGCTGCTAGCAGTCATCAACAACAGAATGGACAAGTAATCGGTTTAAGTGGTATCGGAGCCTTAGAGAACGATCCTGACACCAAACTCTTTGTTGTGAAAAAGACTGGTGATAGTCAAGGTATTACTGCTCTCATCAGCCGTCAGCTTCAAGGTAAGTACTTCGCACATACGATAACAAATAAGCACGATTCTAATTTTTTAATATTAAGAAAGAACTAATTCTTGTTATTATACGCACATGTGAATAATGAAAAGAATCTTAAAGAGAGCATGTAATTAGTTTATATATGATGCACATGCACTACACATTATATGAATGCAAAATATATTTTTGTTCTGTTCTACCGCAGAGAATTATTGCAAATAAAATTATTCGAAATCGCTGTCAGTTATCAATGTTGTACATGGATTATTCTAATAATGCATGGATTAGAATAATAATGTATATAAATTATCACTGAAAGAGACGGATATTCGAAACCGAATGTATAAAAATCTCGGGAGTTCCATGCATGATATGTGTAACCAGTGCATGTGCTTGCGAGGGTGTAACGATGTAAAATTTGACGATATCGTTATTAGGACCGTACACGTTTTCTTTATAATTTCGCATCAATTTTGATTTTGCTTTGGATAGAAGAGAGAATGCCGCTGCTGTACACGACTCAGGAAGTGCTGAACAACACTTTGCATCATATTAATCACCCACGTACACTTCCCCTGCATCCCGTGCAACACAACAATGTTCAGTCCTCCTTATAATAATATATCATCCCTGCGACACAAACAAGTGCAGTTACTTAGCACAAATTTGTACGTGATACATGTTATATTTCTCCAATGGATATCCGTTTATTTTCTTCTGGTTATTGCATTCAGGTGAGTCGTTTTTTGTGTCTACCTATTTTTAGTACCCGTCAACAATGTCAGTCTTGTCGCTGTTAGATTTAGTGGAGCAATTTAGTATTCCTATGTATATATTACATTGAATTTACTGTCTCAATACAGCTTTCATAATTGTACATGTCTGATAGAATCCTTACTCTGTCGTAGTCTCGCTTAAACGTGTAATACATGAATTAATCTTTCAGTCATAAAAAGAGGTAATGAAAAAATAATCGATGTAATCATTCATTATCATTGTTCGCAGCAGCGGGAGACCCGAACGCGTGGAGATTGGGAAGAATCGAAGAGACTGATCACGAAACACCCGTTTAATGAAACGAATCTCAAAACGAATGTCATCCTCGACAGTCAATATAAAGTAAACCACCGGTCTTTTTACATAACACGATCGAGTATACTCGTCGTTACGGAAAACTGTATGGCATGGTGTGCTGTGCGTGGAACAATTGAACATTCTCTTGCCAATTAATCATTTCTCCCACTAGTCAAGTAACAACGGAAGGCAAAACGAAGATTTCAACAACGTTTGTATAGGATAATGGTCCTCTATTCTAGTTTATACATACAAAGTGATATTACGACTTAAATATTACTTTATGCTTCCAATATTATTATTATTATTGTTATTATTCTCGTCACCAACTGAAACTGATTTAAACGTGGCTGATTTCCTTCGACGAGCGCGTACTGCGTTTAGCGGGCGTCAGACGAACAAGACTATGAGTACTCAAAGGTGTAACAGAATGCAAGTTGTTCGATCGCAGCGGCGTAACTTCTTTAAACGAGAGGATCTGTGATTCATTGGAACCGGTGAAGAACAAAATTTAGGGGGAGGCCTAAACACCTTGATCGTTTCCCGTATCCAGATAGTGCCTTTTTACTTGCATTTCATTTATTCATTCTTTGAGAGGAAATACATGTATGTACAGTACCATTGCGTGTGCATGTATACTGATTTACACGTTCATTCAGTGTATTTTAACGATGTTGCTGACGGAACTCTCTAGTCACCATCGTTTCTTTAAAATGGGACCATTTTTAACTGGTCTTACGTTCGATCATGTTCAGAAGACAATGTCTAGACCAAGTCCAAGATAATTTCATTCGATCAAATCGCATTCCAATGAACATTCGCAATTTTAGTTGTTAAATCGAATGTTAAACCTTTGTTATCAACAGATTCCGTCAGCAATTAATGATTTCTACAGTCGGAGCTATCGGACGATAGACTCCGGGTATTATTGCGCGAATCATATCATAAATACTACCACTAGATAAATGGCGTTCAGATTAGAGATGCAGGAAGTTACGCCAGAAAGAGCTGGATGATAATACAATTGTAACGTGAGCTATATTAAGAAAATATTTATATTGATATACAATTGCCGATAGGAGAATAAATGCATATATTAACATTTAATGTTTAATATAATAAAATTATCGGAAATTGTTACAATAATATAACTACACGATTATTATTTTTTTATTTATAATCGAGAATTGGATTAACTTGACGTATAATTTACGGACTATCGTCGATTGTTGTGAACTGAAAACGAGTCAAAATGAATACGCACAGAGTAACGCGAAGCGAGGACTCTCCGAGGAATGACCATAACGAACGTTATCAGAAAAAATGTAAGCCGGCGAAAATTTAAAGTAAAAATCTCAGGTTTCGTTGATTGGATACAGTTTTCGAGAAGATACGAGAAAATTTGTAAAGACAATTTTGTCTAGTCCTTAGCGAAATGCGTTCAAATGAATTTAAAACATTGCTAATCGAATTCATGCCCAGTTAAGATTTACATACATACTTTAAGAAGACTTTTTATATGTAAAAATCATAGAGTTCTTGAGCATATTCTATTCGAGATATTATAACTAGTTTAAACGTTAAACGGATAATAATTGTCTATCGTACATGTGAAATACATCCTTAACAATTATTTGTTTAGGCAACAAATATACATGTTATATGTACGCGTATTCGTTTGGTAAAATCAAACCGTTCTTTTTTTACGCGACGTCAAATCGAATTATACAGGGTGTTCCAGAAAGAGTATGATTCTATAAGTGTTTCTGAACAACAATTTCCTTTGCCAGAATGCAAAGTGGTTTTTGAATTATAAACGAATAACACTGACCAACCTGAGCGGACCCGCGGCCAGCCACGAATAGGTTAGTTCGGATCGTGGTACTTGGCCGTGGCTTTGCATTTTGGTAAAAGAAATTATTGTTCATAAACACTTACTGAATCGTCTCTCTTCAGCTCTAACACTTTATGTGGAACACCCTGTATATACAACTTAACGATTTACTTTTAATACTATTCATGTATGTATGAGAAAGTGTAAGTGTTTTATTTTAATGAATGTAAATTATTATTCGTTAATCATCTCTGTTGTTTATTGTTTCGTACTGTTATTACACGAGTAGACCTTTTTTAGCGCATAACAGGTAGCTAGGTATTATGAATGAAATGAACAAATTTGAACGGCGCATTGAATACAATAATGAAAAATTTAACGATGGAAGAAATAAAGGAAGTTAGTTTTAGAAAAGAATACGATATCCTTCAAACCTTGACAATAACGACTCGATGACAAATACCATCATTTATCACGTGCAGAATAATAACAATCTCAGATTAGCTCTCATTGTCGATGGAAAAATTCCCGGGACGCAGATGATCTCACTGACACGTACGTTTAGTACGGAAATACCTCTCTTAATTTCCTCGGAAATTTCGATTCGAATCAGCGCGATTCGTTCGCTAACCGGAAAATAATTAATTTGCATGAAGTACAGGATGTATTTAAAAGCGCGGTCAGTATGAGAACCCGCGAGTGTTAGAGTCAAATACCTAGCAGGAATCTAACAGTAGCATCGCGGGTCATGTCGAAGGGTTTTTTGACAAGTTGTACTAAAATATTTTAATCGGGAATCAAACGATAGATAAAATGCCGGCATCGGAATCGTATCGACTGACGCATCCCGAGTTGATGCTAGAATCCGAGCTGAGAGAAATATTAGAAAACGTGAGTGAACGCGAGGTTAAGTCTATCGTCGTCAATTAATCCAATAAATATCGAAACGTCGAGTTCAGTGAAGTTCCCGGTTCAGGATAAATAATTTTCTTCATTTTCCAGAGGTGTATCGATTTTAGTGATTATAAAAATTTGCCCAAATCGAAATTGATAGAACTGTACAATCGGATAGCGTTACCGTTGCCTCAAAGACAATCCGATGATGCAGACAAGTCAGATGTAAAAAACAATGAGACTGCACATTCTGTTAACGAGTCCGAGGAAAATTCAGTTTTATTGTAAATAAGACTATTCGTTCTCATTCACTATAAAACATCGTTCGTTCATAGTTACGATTTTGTAAGCCCCGAAATTTGTTTACAGAAATGGCACGAGTAGTACGAAAACAAATGAAGTGACAAAGACGCAAACGTTTAATAGTGCAAGAACAAAGTCCCCCGTGAATGAATTGAAACAGACTCCGAAAAAAATAAGATTGTGTAATTCTAATAAGGAGACGAGATGCAACGGCACTGAGAAACGTTCTAACGATGAAAAACACGATGTATGTTCATCAATCATTTAAAGTGAAGCTGAGAAGGAAAACATGTTTTTTATGTTTCAGGAGTCTCCAGCAAAGAAGAGACAGAAAATTACATGGCCATGAGAACACTGGATTGCTTACCTTAATTCTCATAAGATAAAACTGGGGACAAACGTACTGCAAAATATAATTTTGCAATATTTGTACTGTTTTACAAGTACGAGAATGTTACAGAAGACTTCGTACATTACAATAATGAATTATGTATATAGATTTATTCTCCTAGCATGACGGGAATGTACTTATTGTACAGGAGAGCAGGCTGCTTCGTAGTTTGAGCATAGAGATCAATTTTTTAATCAAATGAATTAAGGTTTTAAACAGTATTTTAAAACCAATTTCGTCATCAATATACGAGAGTATTAATAGAATCTGTTATTTGTTAATCGTAGCTTCTAATTTATACAAATGAAATACAAGATTTTAAGACAGTACGTGTTTCTTTAAATATACTCTTTCCCTTCAAATTCCTTTTCCTAGTTACTCTCATCTTACGTGGACGAAGTACTGAAGAGATAAAGATTAAAATCTGCTGAACTAACTTCCGGCAATAATCGAGATCGAAGAGCAGATAAAGAAAAGCGAAATTCGAGCATTCCAAAGCGGATCTGTTTAGTATTCGTGTCTCGCATGGCGGAAGCGTTACACTTACTAAATACTGCTACAAAAAATCACAATGAATCACGCAACAGTGAAAGCACTGGAAGAACTATTGACCAAATTTTAATCTCGTTTTCGCAAATCATAAGCAATCGCAAAGCAAATTTTGTTATAGAACAAAAAATGTAAAACAGTTTATACGTTCTTGAATTAATTTCAATTCAATTAAGTATAAAACGTTTTAAAGAATGGATAAGAAGCTCTCGCTTTAATAACGATTATCTCAAATTAATGTTCTATTTACCACGACTGATATAAATGTTCTCTATACGCGTTTGTTAGTGAAATGAAAACGAGAGCTAAACTTTTGTCTTCGGACGGAAGCGTGTCACGTCCGAAGACTGTTTGCGATGCATCAGGAGCATCGGATTCGACGATCCTACTCGGTGCTACCTATAAATACGTTTGCCACTAGAAATTGAACGGTCAGTTTCTTCTTTGACTTTCGTTCAATCGTCGGATTACCTGAACTAAATCACTATGGCTAAGGTGAGAACAGACAACCGAAATCTTTCACTCTAATTCTATTCATAATTAAAAAATGCAATAATAGTGTCATCTATGACATTTTTAGTCATTAAATTATATCGATAATAAAAGAAGAAAAAGTAAAATTCCCCTGGAGCTATTAGATACCTACTTTAATCATTAGATGAACTCGAACGATTCACCGTTATATTCCAGGAAATAATCATCGTACTGGCGCTCAGCGTGATAGCTCTTTGCAACGGAGGCGTCATTCATCCTCTGCCAGCGGTGGCGAAAGTCGCACCCTTGGATCCAGGATTGAATTACGACCCCCATCCGCAGTATACTTACGCTTACGACGTGCAGGATAATCTAACCGGGGACTCGAAGACTCAACACGAGACCAGGAACGGCGACATCGTTAGCGGTAGCTACAGTTTCATCGAGGCCGACGGCACCAGAAGAACCGTGGAGTACACGGCGGATCCCGTTAATGGATTTAACGCAGTGGTTCATAGAGAGCCGGTGGCAGTCATTAAGCCCGTGAAAGTCGCCCCTGTGGCTTTCCCTTGATGATAAAAATAAACTGTGGACTTGATGCATAAAATTATTCAGCGTTTAAATGATGTCTAACTAGTCATGTAACCATCATATTGTATATAAAGCAATCATTCTATTATACGCACTGATACGTTTTTATTAAAGTATTTTATAAAATATATTATTGTTACTATTCTCTTCCTCAACCTCTAACTTTAAGTACAATGTTCTAATGATGAATTGATTTAAAATTTCAACGTGCATTCACTACTTGCTACTATTAAAGAAATGCATGATGAATTCATGCCTGAATTGTACTGCAGAGATAAATATCTTTAATTTCATAATTATTTTATATGAATACTAGATGATTATTGAAGATCAATTGAGACGTGTAGCGAATTTGATGAATCGATTAAGAGCAAGATAGCGTAACTGCCTTTCACAATAGAGTATTATGTAAGATAGTTCGACGAATTATAGACTACCCATTGTCCCATGTAAATTGTACACGATTAAATCCGATTAAATTCTGTCCCTATTAAAAACTCTACTATCCATGATACGTCGTACTACATTAATTGAGCTCTACCTTTTATCAGTGTACTGAAAGTCGATGTTGAAATCCCTGATTCAGTGCGAAAATAAAGACACTGATAAAAAGACTTTACCAATGTCTACATGGGATTATCCTTTCGTAATTTCGTCGGGCAGCCTCGAGTGACTTTCTTCGACGTATCGGCATACAAATTATTCCACACACTTCGTCCCTGAAATTAACATTCAAATCGTATATCGCATGAGACACAATTCAAAAAACCATAAATGAACGTACCATTTTTAACATGATCTATTATCAAACATTCAATGTTCTTAAGGATGTATTGGCTACACAGTCAATCCCAAAAGATTATGCACTTTAGAAACGCATTTTTTTAAAAGAAATCAGACGTCGGAAGAACATTGCTAATAATAAACAACAAAAAAAAATTTTCGATTTTTCCGAGATTTTTCCAAGGGGTACACATTACAAAGCTTGATACACTGAAATTAGTGTTCCACATTATCATAGATACTACAAGGGCAGAAGTTCGTATTTTCTAATGAAATTTCCAGGAGAATTACATTAACATATATGCTGTGAGATGGTAGCAAAAATATTTTACGAATTACATCCAAGAAAAATTTGATAAAAATAGACTTGTTTGATTGCAATCACCGTGGCTTTCCCCCTTAAGTAACATCCTAATTTAAGGTGTCGCGGTGCGAGGTAAATGCTAATCGATAACGATCGCGCAACATCGTAAACTTTTGGTAGGAGGAGGAGGTCAACCGCGGGGTTCAGTTTCGTCGTACGACCTCGAGCTGCCCGGTATCTTCGACGTATTGGCATACAGGTCGCGTTTACGCGGCCGCGAGGATATGAAGAAACGATATAACCGCGCATACTCATCGGTCGTTGTATGCAACAGCCGAGGAGGTCGTTGGGTTGTAGAAGAAAGAGAGGAGCAGATGGGTACCGTACGAAAGAAGGAGAGGTCCAGTGGGGGCGGCGTGGAAGACGGGTGGCACGAAGTTTGGGTGCAAGGAATAGCTCGGTTATTGTTGGAAGGATGACACGAAAACGCTCACGGTCATCACGCGTATAAAAGTACGACGATTCTTACCCTGAGGCATCAGTCTCCTGGCGATCCTCTCGTAAACAAACATGGTTGGAAAGGTAAGAGCCTACAACGATCTAGCTTTAACTAGCTTCTTCATCGACACTAATAGCTAATAGATCTTTCGCTCGTCATTGATAATATCTTTTAAACATTAGATAAGGGACAGAACCTACTTCATGCAAAACATTTTATACCTGCAGAAGACTTAGAGAACGAAGAATTACGGAATACATCGAAATTGATTTTCTAATGAATTTTCTCCTACATTCCAGCTCGTTCTTCTCTTAAGCCTGGCGGTCCTCTCGAAGGGCGCGGTGGTACCAGCACCGGTGGTTGCCGCAGCACCGGTGGTACCAGCAAGACTGGAAGAACTGGACGCAGTGCCCCAATACAGTTTTGCTTATGACGTACAAGACGCGATAACCGGCGATTCTAAGGCCCAATACGAGACCAGAAACGGAGATATAGTACAAGGAAGCTACAGCTTGATCGAAGCCGACGGTACTCGCCGCATCGTTGAGTACACTGCCGATCCGATAAACGGCTTTAACGCGGTGGTTAGTCGCGAACCAGCGACTGCCGTCGCTGCCATAGCTGCTCCTGTAGCCGCTTATGCACCTGCCCTCGCACCAGCTGCTGCAGCTGCTCCAATTTTACCAGGTGCGCCTGCACCAGCACCAGCGATTCCGTCCAGCGGTCCCGACTCCGACGTGGAAGTGGTCGAAGCTAGATCCGGTCCTCTGAAAGCCGCGTCTAGTCGCCAGGAACAGTTGAGGCAGCAACAGGAACAGCAGTTGCAGCAGCTGAAGGCGATTGAAAGACAGCAACAGGAACAGCAGCAGCAACAGCTGCACCAGCTTCAGCAGCTCCAGCAGCAGTCCAGACTGCAATTGCAACAGCAGATTCAGCAGAGGCAAGACCAGAGGACGCAGGAAAATAGCCAGGAGCAAGAACAGAGGCAACAGCATCAACAAGAACAACAGGGTGCACCTGTAAGGGCGCTCGCTAGTCCAGTACAAATTCCAGCGAGAGCTCAGCCTGCTAGGCTGGTCAGCTTGCCAGCGGCCAAAGCTGTCACCAGTTACGCTTATCCCGGGGCTTATGCTTACACCGCTGCTTACTCGTCGCCTGTGGCATACGCGGCGCCCACTCTTACCTACGCTCCCGCCAACGCGCTTTTCTAAATCTCATTTTTAACGTTCGTTTTGTTATATACTGCCCGGACCGATTGAACAAGTTCACCAAATTGCAATAAACGTACCTTTACAACGAAGAGATGGTTTGGTCTGTTGTTTATTAAAATTACTAATTCCGTCTTATTTGAACGAATTGATTAATTGGTAACACCTTCTGTGTAACGAATTACACAGTAAGAACTTTACCTATCGACTCTATAGAAGAATATGCTGCAACGATTTAATGCGGTCTCAATTGGGACGCTTTACGAATACGAGATTATATGCCAATTGCGAGAGAACAAATTTACGATGCGTTAAGCAAGCATGGAATGGAATATATCTTTAGCCCAGCTATTGAGACATTTTCCACTTTCGACAGGCTGCAACAAATCAAAACGATGAACGAGATACGTACAATGACGGAGTTTGTAAAACCGCCACCCACGAGAACTGTACATCTTCCTCGATAAGACTCGAGCAATAAATAAAATATATTTCTTTATCTCAACTGTCTCAGATTATGAAACGCCATCGTGTTCTTAACGTACGGCAAATTTCGATCCAACAATAACTCAACAGACACAGTATTCACTGCGAATGTATAAAATCTACAGTCTAATAAATTATTAATTGACGTTTCTTCGAGTGCGAAGTAATTTGTGAAAGAGGCGTCCGACAACGTTTTCGTGAAACGATTTTTATTCCACGCGGCTTGTTCGTGCGATCGTTGCACCACGATATACACGACGAAGATTTATTATTCAACCGAGTCTGGTTTTCTTTCTGTATTGCGCGGAGGTTCGTACGGGGCCACTGTCCTCGTAATCCTCGTAACCCCGTGACGATCGATTACGTTACGTCGCCGTGATCTACGTGACCGCGTGCGTAGGCGTAATAATGAGTAGTAAACTGCTCGATAAATCAATGGCACGCTCATCAGAGGCACGCGTAGCATGCCAGCAAATTACAATGCAAAACATATTAGATAAAACCTATTCGATATCATAATCTAATATAATTGAAGTCTCACGAAGGAGGTGAACCTATGAGTCTGGCACGTGGCTGACTCTTACTACTTAAGAGATCTACTGGTCATTGCATCTTCCACCGTTTGATTAGAATCGGCATCGTTATTAAAACAAAATGTAACGTGTCCACTTTGTAATACGAATTATATCTGTAATATAATACTGATCGAATAAGAAGTGATATATTCCTGGAAGAGAGTGTAAAATGCACTTGTATACTTTAACGGTAACAAAACGTGTTTTAATATTACGATCATCGGGCAGATTGTTACACGTAATTACCATATATATATACTCACGTTTCATGTTCCCATTAATCCTTATGTAATATTACGTAATGGCCATGTAACTCGCGTTTTCTCTTTAAAAACGTATCAATTTTCTGGAACAGCACTCATTCACTCACGTATGAAACACTTCTACTTTCGACTACTACTTCTTAAAAATACAGTAAAGTAAAAGATGGGGTCGCTTTAGATTCGAAAAGCTCGAACTAAAGCTCGAAACACTGGGGAACATTGTAAGCCACCGAGGCTAATAAACTGATAATTGATTGATAAAAATACGTTGATTAACATAATTTTTTACCTAATTATTGGAGACGTACGATTTACGAGACACCCAGTGGATACCTGTCCTGCTGGTCAACTTTCACCGAATTTAACCAGAGCTGCAGCCGCGGCCGTCAAATCACCGCGCCCAATGTCACGAGGCAGCCCCTCGTAATCGTGCCCCGCGATATTATGTGACTTATCGAGTACACTCCCGTTAATAATACATTGATTGAAAAAGATTTGCGAATTTCGAAAAAACAATCGAACAATCAGCAGCATTGCTGCACGACTTAGATCTTACCTTACATGGATCTTTTCACTGATGCGAATGAACACGCGCCGAATCGTTAATTATCCAAACTTACCGTTTTCAGGTTCATTCTAAACGCGAACGTATGATTCGAATGAAACAACAATATCACATTCATTTCAGAAATATCGGGTCTAAGAAACAATTTGTACACCAACGAAGACTCTGGAAGATTCGCGATAAAGTAAAAACCGTTACTGAACAATTAAAAATGGTGCCAACTTTTCCTCAAGCATGAATGTTACCAACCCCTTATTAAGATAAATCAACAACCAAGTAATCAGTGTCGCTCTTAATGGCGGGAATGAAAGCGTTTAGTTAGATATGTAATTTACCGTTTCACTTTCATTTGTTACTGCATATACAATTTCAAATAACTGAGATTCAATTCGTTGAACAAAATTTGTTGAGTGAAGCGTCAATCAGAATTTCGGGATGTAGATATTATTTTCACACCTGTTAAATTTGGTTAAATTATGAACGCGAATGTACGGAGAATATATACGTACGTGAAACTGGTTCAGTCGATTTTTGGCGGACCGGTTACGGAAAGAATTTGACCGAGTGGAAAACGGATCGCCGGAGGCCATTCGAAACCCGAATCACCTCTCATCAGTTTCGATTAAGACGTGACACCGTTTTGTCTTTATCTCATCGCTCTGTTCGTCGATAATCCGATGATTTATATTTTATGCGATAAGGGAGTAGCATCTCTTCTATTGAGAAATCGCTACCTGTCTGCGAGTTCCGCCAGCCGAAAGAAGATGCCCCTCATCGTTTAAACGGACGATGTGCGAAAGTTCAAGGGTAATGTTAAGGCTCCGTGATCGATTAATGATATTACACATGAATGCTGTGAGTTCCTGGGAATCTCTTACCCGTGCCGATGAATTTTCTTCAGGTAAACGTAATCATGTACCTCCGTTAAATACTAAATACAATTTTTCATTTGTTTCAACGGTTACTGACAGTTCGTCCTAGCTTTCGCAATTAAATTGCATCGCTAATTTATGCCCGGCGACGGCCAAATAAGATGCAGATTACACAGTTCAATTACCTGCAAGCCGAATTACCGCATTTTTGTAATAGACGCATCTGGGCGCTAACTGAATCACCTTGTAACCTTTTTTTTAATAGAAGAAAGGCGTATCCCAGTCACGATAGCGCATGCAGTCGTCTTTATCGTTTACGTGACTCGGCTATCAAACGATTGATTGCTCGCAACCAAGTATCGGGACTGCGTGCTTTCACATTCGCTTTAAAGAGATTTTCATCAATTGTGTAATTCACTTTTGTTAGATGCCTCGATAGAACTCGTTCAAGATCGGCTTTTTATGGCCGAGTAAAAAATGCGGCCGAAGGTCGACTTCGTTCTTTCAAATAGGATATAACAGTAATGCTTGTCATTCACGAAAAATGCTGAACCAGGACAGAATTCTTAATTCAGAATATAAGAATTTTGGAACATAATGCGTTTTATATCGAGTTGCAGCAACCCTTTTGCAACTCATACTGTTTTCCTCTATTTAACCTGCGTGGGTTGTCGAAAGATTCGAGAACACGCGCGACGAAAAAAAAGGTTTATCGTTCTGGTTCACTTTTGTTACGCAATCGTTTACATCGAGGCCGGGAATTCGGACGCCTTTCTCCCCGTGGTAATGGATTCCCGGGGCCCGGGCGGGAACCACGATGAATTATTCCCTGCGCCGTAAAACGTTTCCCTCGTTATCGTGGTTCTCTTTATATCTACCGTAAATTCAATACATCCTTCAGAATTTATTTAGCGACCCTGGGTCAATCGTACTTTCCTTGTCCTCCGATTGCCACCACGTTTTGCAAAAGCGAAATGTTATGTGCGACAATAATTTTAATATACAATTTTGTATATGATAATGAATGATGATGAATAGGATGAATAATAATTTTGATATACAAAAGATTAACGACGAACCAGTTTTTTTCATATCGGAACGAGATTTTGCTAGTTCTGAACCAGTTCTCGCAAGGGCGTGATCCTCTTGACAAAAGTAGACAGCGTTACGCGGATTGCGACGTATGACAAAGAACACGAAAGTAGAGAAAGTGGGTCAGAACCTGGTGACCACCAGAAATAGCTTGATGATCGAGCAATGCGAAATTGAAACGCTACCCTACACCCAAGGTTACGCGATCACGTTACTCTTTATTCTATCGAGCGCTCTCTGACTAAACGCTTTCTCAGCCGGAATACTGCTGACTCTTTCCAAGCTCGTCTCTACACTTAAACAATGCTTAATCATTATTTGAATAACCCTTCGATAGTGATAAGACATTGAAATAACTTCAAGTCACAGTTATAACTTATGTTAAATAGGAATCAATTTAAGGATGAGATCCAGTAACTGATTCCCAATGATTCTAATGGATAAGTGAAAGGAGAAACAATCAGTCAACAGGTGAATACATTTGTAACGAGTTTAATCAATTACAAACTGTGCTAAAAAATAAATAAAAAAGTTTCAGGGCCTGGTCGACAACAACGAATGGCAGAGACGTCTAACGTTTAGAGGTAGTGTGCAGGTGCGGCGTATCCGGAGTAAGCGAGAGCCGGGGCGGCGGCGATTTTAGTGTAAGATGCTGGGTGCGCGGCGTATGCGATGGGCGCAGAGTGAGCAGCATAGGCGAGGGGCGCGGAATGTGTTGCATAGGCGAGGGGCGCGGAATGCGTTGCATAGGCGAGGGGCGCGGAATGCGCTGCGTAGGCGAGGGGCGCGGAATGCGCTGCGTAGGTGATGGGCGCTGGGTGCGCGGAGTAGGCAACGGGTGCGTGTGCTACGGCGTATGGAGCAGCAGCGACCTTGGCGACGGGGGCGGCGTATGCAAGAGGAGCGGGGGCGATGGTCTTCACAGCGGCTACGGGAGCGGCAGCTACGGCTTTGACGGCGACCGCGGCAGCTTCCTTGCGGACTACGGCGTTGAATCCGTTGACTGAGTCGGCGGTGTAGTCGACGGTACGTTTGGTGCCGTCAGGCTCGATGAGGGAGTAGCTGCCCTGGACGATGTCTCCGTCGCGGGTCTCCTGTTGGCTCTTGGAGTCACCGGTCAGGCTGTCGTGCACGTCATAAGCGTAGCTGTATTGGGGATGCGGGTCGTAATCAGCGTCTACTGCCTTGGCTACCACTGCCTTGGCCACGGGAGCCGCGGCTACCGCCACTGGGGCGGAGTAGGCCAACGGTGCTGGCTGGAGGAGAGCACCGGCGTTTGCGACGGCCACGAAGGCGGCGAAGACGATGAACTGTAGGAATAAATTACCTTATATTAGATTTTACAATTTACATTTAAATCTTCTACTGAAATTGATGAACTACGAGTTCTACTTGAGTGTAGCGAACTGTTAATTCAAATTTTAATTAATCTCATTACGTAGTAATTCAAATTCTACATTTTGAAAACTTAATGAACTTTATGTAAAATTCTTTATCCCCATGAACAATTGGGGCAGTATCTGTATTAGACAAAATTCCTTTGCAAACGGATTTTGATCTAATTAATCTGCAAACTCGAACGGTTTACTTAAGGCTCCAGTAACGATCCTGTACCCACCTTGAATGCCATTGCTGAAGATTTAGTTGGTTTGGATCGACTAAGCGACTGTTGATGTCCAACGTTTATTCGGGCGCCTTTATATACAGGCGATCAGCCGTGTTACCATTGTGCCCCCACCAAAATGTTCAGGTTTTGCCGGACTTTCAAAGTTTGGTAGCAGATCGGATCAGGCGTTACCGCACTTGAACTTGGCCTGAACAAATGGGAGTAACTCGCCCAGCCCTTGTAAAACGCCATACTCACGCTCACTCTGGTAGTATTTTCAATCTTATAAGTAATGGAGTTGAAATTATGAGTTATTGAAATACGCTGCATCTCATAATTAGCAAACCAATAAAGGATTTGCAAATGCTCTCAATTTCTGAATTCATATCAGTCTGCACTCGTTGCAATTATTCTTCCCTACTTAAGGAATAAAATTCTTTCTATTCGAAATATTAATTTCAAACTGAATCTTTCTTTTAATGGTTCATTATTTCTTATTAATCGTTCCAGTCTTTTTTTAGCTCAGACATTACTGACTACGCGAAATTCCGGCTGTACCGGAGCTTGTCTGGTTCAACCGTCTCTGGTAGGACAATTTTTGAATATAAATTAGTCGTGACATACCACAGGTTTCGCATCTAGATCAACTTTTTAAACATTCACAATATAATAAAATTATAATGGATCTCATAATGGCCTGCTTTAAAAAGAATCTCAATGCAAATGCACGAGAATGCAACTGCATTTTAACGTAACAGCCAATCTCGTATCTAACATAGTACTATTGATTCAGATTAAAGTTCTTAAAAGTCTAGTGGTGGTCTCGTTTCGAAAACGCTGACTCGACGCGACGTTCGTTGAAATTTAATGGTATCGGCTGTAAATTGATTCTCTAAATTTCTCCAAATTCCGTAGGACCGAGCCACATAGACGAAAATTCGTGGAATCGGAAAAAAGGTGGACGCGAAAAGAAAGAGGACGGAGAGTGCGATCGGTACCAGGTGATCGCGAAAGTAAAGCCGGGCGTTGGATCCCGATCTACCTTGATCGTTGCGTCACATCTAACGTTAACAGAAGTGGAGCACTTTCATAAAGAAAAAATAGGCGGGCCAGGTCGGAACGGTGCCCACCTTGATCGCCCTGGGCCATCCTGATCCAAAATCGGCGGTCCTCCTGCCCCCGGATTTGAAATTGGGTGAGATACTATTTCAAATAGTAAATTATTTGGAATACATGCGTGTAACGTGAGAAGTGAAATCTTTTATTTAAGGCGAACAGGATCTAAAATATGAAATAGCATTTGATACATATATTTTGCCAAGTAATAGCCAGCACCGGCTGCCCTCGGTGTATCGTGTGAAATCAATGTCACAATTTGAATTTAGGTCTTCCGCACTTCTCTTGCGTATGTCCACCGGGCCGCTGGAATTTTAATCGAGCCTATTCCTGCTCAGATTTAATCGCTTGTCGTGCTAATTGCGCGGCCCAATTTCTGATTGCGCCAAATGACTATCGCTTGCAAATATTTCTTGCGCGATGTAGATCAAAAATTAAAATTTTGGACATTGAAACCTGTCACTTGTAATAAAACTGTTAAATTAATTAACGAAGTGAAAGAAGAAGTGCGTGCACAGACATTCTCGTTACGAGAAGCATTAATGTATGCGATAATTACAGACAATGAAAATTACCCTACGGCCCATTAATCGCTTGAAATCCGATCAAGCTTACGTCACCGACACCTTACAACACTGGGCCTGGTCTCAGCCTCGTCCTCTTCTGATTTTTTTTAAGCTGCAAAAAATAAGCCAGTTGTTTCCACCAATTACAGAAGAACTGAAGGTCGCGGAGATGGTTTTCTGCACCAGTGACCTAAAGTAAATTCTGTGACAAATAATTTATTTATCTCAATAGCCGACCTCTTACCTTCTGCTCTCTTTCACCTTGGATCGAACCATGCAACATTTTCACCGCCAGTTGATTTTATTAACCATTTCTTCTTATCGCCGACTGGCATCAGGTGAGAAGAGCAGTAATAAATTGAATCAATTCTTTTTTCATGAGGAAAGATGTTGTGAGAATAATTCCAATGCTTTCTGGTCTTGTTATTTGTGCTAATTAAAGTGTTAAAAAAGCGATAAGGATTTTCAGACTTGTAATGTGAGTCATAAGCCGTGAGCAAGTCTATAATTGTAAATCGAAATTATTTAATCAGATGTGGTTGACATAAAACTTAAAATGATAAAACTTATGCACTCGTTCTTATATGTTTAAATCGAGTATGGACGTCCCATACAATTTATTATGTTCTGGATACCGTGTTTAACATTCTTCGGGCTCGTTGCAAAAAATCAACTGTAACGATGGCAATTTGAGCACGTTTTCTTCTTCACTTTTACTTTCTTGTAAGGAAAGTACGCACATGCTGTGGTTAATGGCTTACGAAATTCACCGAATACTCCAATTTTTGTCATATTTTAAATGCGACAAATAAACACGAGTCTCGTGCAATGTAATTAAGTAGGATAAATAAACAGCGGGCGTTAATGCAAATTCCTATATTCATAGAAAACAAATTATATTCGTTTTCTACTTTGAATACGCGGTCTAACGATAAATGATCAATTGTTAGTGTACAGGGTAAAAAACTGCTAACGCGTTTCGAAGGAGGAGCCCGGGGAAGGATTAAGTAACTCGTGGCAAGGACGTGGCCTAGTAGACGGAGACGCAAGTGTTCTACGATGGTCCAACGAACGAACGGCCTGATCGAATTGTTCGTGCGTTGGGCGTGGTCCGATTTCTTGCTCAATTTTTGTGCCACTCTGCCGGCCGCAAATCGGGTGACCGTCGAAGGTACCGTCACCCAGTTACGTCAGCGTGCCCGTGGGTCCTGGTCGCGGCGGTATAAAAGCCGAAAACCACCCGTCTGTGGTATCATTCGCATCAGAGACAGACAGATCGAGAGATCTACCAATCAAGCAGAGCTACAATGGCCTTCAAGGTATTAATCCCAGGGCCACTCGTAACCCTTCGCACAGTAACAACATTTATTCTCATTCTTTTGCACACATTCATATTTATTTAAAAACATTTGCTCTCTCTTTGACTACCGTTCTTTTATTCTGCGCCCGCAATTGAAAGTAGAAAGCACGTTCCCAATTTCGATAACTCTGCTCGTACGATTCAGTAACGTTGCTTTCATCGACTGTTCCAAGAAAACTTGTATCATTCGTGCACACTATTCGTTTAGTCAAATTCAGTTTGAACGAAATTGTAAAATCTAATATGTCGCAATTTATTCTTGTAGTTGATCGTCCTCGCCGCCTTCGTGGCCGTCGCAAACGCCGGTGCTATTCTTCAGTCGGCACCGTTGGCCTACTCCGCCCCAGTGGCGGTAGCCGCGGCTCCCGTGGCTAAAGCAGTGGACGCCGACTTCGACCCGCATCCCCAATACAGCTACGCTTACGACGTGCACGATGGCCTGACCGGTGATGCCAAGAGCCAACAGGAGACCCGCGACGGAGACCTCGTCCAGGGCAGCTACTCCCTCATCGAACCCGATGGTACCAGACGTACCGTCGACTACACTGCCGACCCAGTCAACGGATTCAACGCCGTAGTCCGCAAGGAAGCGGCCGGTGCTCCCCTCGTCGCCGCCGCTCCGATAGCCAAGGTCGCTGCTGCCCCTGTAGCCTACGCTGCTCCCATCGCCAAGTACGCCGCTGCCCCTGCCCTGGCATACGCTGCTGCACCCATCGCTAAATACGCCGCTGCCCCTGCCCTGGCATACTCTGCTGCACCCATCGCTAAGTACGCCGCTGCCCCTGCCCTGGCATACGCCGCCGCCCCCATCGCCAAGTACGCCGCTGGCCCTGCCCTGGCATACGCCGCACCTGCCCAAGCCTACATCCACTGAACCTGATCTGTCTTCTCTAGGATTAATGTTTGTCAAATAAAATACGTTTTTTTTTAGCAACTATACAAATTGTCTATCTAATTTTGTGTTTAATGTCGCAACAACAATTGCCTTCTCCTGCAATTACTGATCGCCCAGTTAACTTGAGAAATCCATGATATCGTAATTACTTAGTTCATTTTTAAATATGAAGAAAAGAAAGTAATCGTACAGGTATTAATCGTATTCGAGGGTTGCTATTACATGATATAGTATGGAGTAACGTTGGAGGGACGTGTAAATAATGACGCCGCTCTTATTACTCGCACTTTCGATCACTCTTATCTCTCGTTAAGGAGGCTGGTTTTCATTAACGATTCACGGACGAACACCAGTCCGCGGCACTTTCTCTGCCAGTGCCAATGTTACTTGTTACATAATACGTACCGTGCCTCACGCGTCGGACACGTTCCCTCCCGCGTAATGTATGTTGCGTTAATTGGGAACTCCTCGGTAAACCAGATTCGTATAATGGTGCAAACCTTGATCTACTTACATGATCCCTTTCCTGCGTTACACCTTACCGTAAAAGAGCTCGTAATTGTAATGATAATATAACTAAGGCGATGGAATTGGGAGGAGGATGCACGTTGTATTTTTGACGTAAATCTATTCGTATGCAGATATATTATTTTCACGTACAAAAATATGTTTGAACTTTGCTTTCAAGGATGCTTAACGTACATAAGTAAGGCTATACTTAGTTGATTTCACAGAACAACTTCACAGCTCGGCTTCGAAATCTTACTATTAACTTACTGTTAATAGTAATTTAGTATTATTTTAAAGGAACAAACTAAATTAACGCTGTTATACATTGTCGACGAAAATCTTTGTATGTGCTTTTTATTCCTGAGTTCCTCTCACCGGTGGTATCATTCTAAAAATGAACACATGCGAGTTTTTCATATTTTGCTAATATTATAAAACAGTTTCATCGTGCGTTTACAGCCAACTTACTTGTGTATCGTGATGTAATCATCCACTTCCACGGCAGACGTATCCAATGGCGTTAGAAATGTGAATTGACATTGAGGATGGGTTCGTGCGTGTTCCAAGAGAATGTCCATTACTGTTTTCCGATTTATTTTATCCTAGAAATATCATAAAAATGTATCTCATGTTCAGTATCATGTACAATAATATTATACTTACCATAAAGACATCGAACTCATCGAGGAAGTAAAAAGGTAACTCGGTACAATCCCAAAGTGCTAAAATAAAAGCAACGGTCGAATACGATCTTTCACCACCTGATAATGATCTCGTATCGGTCACTGGCTTTGCATTATTATTCGGCGAGTGCACTTCTAGGTTTAGTACTTTCCGTCCATGATCAATATTAATGGTACCCTGATCAAAATAATGCCATTGAGATACTCATCGTCTCCTCCTCTTACTACACTCCAGTTATCTCCACTTACTTTCTTGTTCCTTAACTTCAATATGGTTGCAAATGCCTCTTGAATATTCTCTCCGTATACCTTTTTCATTTTGTCGTATGTCTGTCTCCGTTGCTCTAGCCGCTTCAAATGCGTCTGTGATGCACAAACGAATATGAATAGCCATTTAAATAACTTTGTAATTTATAACTTACCTTGTAAGTGTTTTCAATTTTGGTAACCAGGCGTAGGTCCTTGCCGTATTTCGATTCTTTCTCCTTCAACTCTTTACGTAGTTCATCTATGTTCCCAATCTGTCGCTCTATCTCACGTATTTTACTTTTTACTTCGGAAATTAATCTCTGAATCTCGCTGGGAGACCTGTAACAAAAAGTGTACATATGAAATATTATTGCGTCCTACTTTGCATCGATTTTAAATCTCTCACCTCTCCGTATTTATCCTTTCACAACGACTACGTGCGTCGGACAGTGCCTTTTCTGTAGACCTGCGCTGTTGTTCAACAGTTACCGTCACCTGTTGCAAGCGATGCTGCGCTTCCTCCAATTTCTTCGCAGCGTAACGACTTTTCATGTGTAAATCCTCCTTTTCGTCGTTCAGTTCCTTTATAGCCTCCTGTTTAGCAGATGTTTACAGAAGTTTAACAAATGTATTTCTATAGAACGAAGTTGTTATTTTATTGTTATTACTAGCGTACCTTTATAGAAACGATCTTCGCGCCCGATTGTTGAGTCAGATTTTCGTGACGTTTAATATCTGCGGCCAGCGAACCAATCAACTTCCGAAGCTCAGCTACACTTTTATTTAAACTCGCTTCCTCCTCCATTTCATGGGTCAACTTCTGCTCCAACTCGATCAACTCATTTTTCTATGAAAATACGATATTAAACAGTTAAACCTGGCATTGAAAATTAATACATATTCATGTCCAAATGCAACTTACGAATACTGTTAAGTTTATCGCTTCGCTCATTTTAATTTTGTCGTTTAGATCAGTGACCGATGTTTTGTAACGATTTTGCGAAGATGACAGCTTCGTAACTTCCGCGTCAACGGTGTCCAACTCGGAAGTTATACGCTTCTCCTTTTCCTGAGCTGCTCTGTACGACTGCACAGCGGCATTTTTCTCTTTTTCTATAGTACGAATCTCTTCTTCCAAGTCACTGACAAAAGGAAATGGCAATTTTACAACGCGTGAATTATTAAACGAACGATCTAATTAATTATCTGACAATCGTACTCAATAAGATCCGTGGCAGAAGCTTGGAGGTATCTCCCTTTCAGATTACGAGGGCCACCGTAACTCCTGTAATGCGGATCTGGGAAAAATATGTCGCACTGCAGAGTTATCGCTCTTTTACAGTTTCGCGGGATTCGCGAAGCATCTGACATAATCTCAGCCGCTTCGTTGCTAGTCGGAATCAGCAGGATACATTCGACCTCGCGCTGATCGATAAGACAATTGGCAACCACGGGATTCGATGTATTCATCGCTTCCAAAAGATTAGAGTACTGCGACGAATGGACGCAACCATTGCTGACGTCATGGACCTGTACACGATTAAATATAAATAATATATGTGCATAATAATAGGAGGGCGGACATATTTTCCTTACGGCATGAAAAAATTTGCTGCATATGATTTGCGGAATCCATTCGTTCATGTATATTTCTTTTGCAATCGAACTTAATAGTTTGCTATCGCGACTGTTATCTACGCAAAATGCACTCAAGAACTTTGGCGACAAAAAGTGTTCGACAGCGGGAGTCCACTCGTGATGCTTCATTTTTATGTATGATCCTGATCATAAAGGAAGGTGTATTAATCATTTTAGATAGATCGAATTGAAATTTCGAGAAAGAAGTTTTACCAAGCGGCCCTCGCGGTTTCTCTTTGAAGTGTCCTTTATTGTTTTCTTCCTCGATTCTCCTCAAAAGACGAGGTACATTCGGGCCGAACACGGTTATAGCATCGTTCGAAGTCTTTTTCCTCGCGTATATCTCGCGCTTGATTTTCTCTTAAACGTAACAAACAGTTATATCAGACAATCTTCTACGTATGAGTTTAGAACGAATGATATTTATATATACCTATTCGATGATTATAGTTATCGATCTCAGTTCTTAAAGCTCGCATTTTTTCCACAAGACGGATTCTTTCACTTTCCAAATGCATTTTATGTGTCTCTTTGGTAGTCAGTAACGCTTCGGTCTCAGTTAACTTTTCTGTCAATACAGTCAACTCTTGTTTCATTTCATTCCTTCCACTTTCACTGTAAATAATAATAATTAGCAGCGACGTTGTGAGCTTGACATAGAACGAACCATTTCCTTATACCTACTCTTCTAATCGATGTATCTCCTTCTTAAGCATAGCGATATCAGATTCGAATCTTTTTATTTTACTTTGGACAGATTGCCACTCTCGGGTTTTTATCGAGTGCGCATTTTTCTTCATAATATATTCCTGTTTGACTGCATAATACGATGTGGAATCATTGTTACTCACTTCCTCTACTTCTTTAATCCTATCCTTTAATTTTCTATGAACAGCAAGTAAAAATAATATAGTATAATGCTATGAAAGGGAATGTAAATGCGAGAAATGACTCGTACTGAATTTCTTCATCTATTTTCGCACTCCTCGATTCAGTAGACGATTCCGAGTCTGTCAATTTCTTCACATTATCAACACAGTGTTGAAAAGCTTTCGTATCTTCTTCTAATTTCCTTTCGCTCTCCATAACCTATGTAATAAAATGTACATTTCATGAAGACTGAATATCTTTTACGATTGTATCACTTACCATTGCCCAAAGTAATTCCATTTCAAGTGCAGGTACTTCTTCCCGATATTCATTGATTTCTTCAGCTTTCTTTATATTCATCTTCAACTGTTCCAGCTCTTTGCGGGTCTCGGATATAATCTACAGAAAATCTATATTATATGACTGTATGATCTTTCGTAATATGAATACATACTTTGTTATATTCTTTCAATTTATCATAGCCTGCTTGGCACCTCGATTGAGCTGTTTCATAATTGGTACCAATTACGTCTAGAAGCGTTGCTCTCATAAACAGTTCGTACTTCTCTTCTGGCTTAGAGGAAACTAAGAACGTTCGCGATATATCTTGATTCAATATAGAAATAGGATTGTCTATTTGAATATTCAATGCTCTCAGGATATTATTTAACTCATTTCGTTTTGTCGACACTATTTCTCCTGCAAGTACCAATTGATCACAGGAAAACTAGGTATGCATACGAAATGAAAAGTATAATATATAGTTCTAGTTTACCTCTCCAATTCTTAATCTTGTAAGATGCTCCACTTCCAATGGTTCTAATAACAGTTATCGAATCACCATAGAGATCATGTTTATACGCCATAAGTCCTTTGTTAAGCAATGTGATTTCAATCAGCGCTGATTTATTCCCTTTCTTTATGAAGTCTAAACACGAAAAGAGAATTCATTGTACAGACAAATGAATCGCAAGGAATGTAATTTCGTATGTGTATTCATACTTTGCACAGATGTACCACGACTGGTAACATTTGCCTTAGCACCCAGACCAACTGTCAAAGCTGTCAATATTGCACTCTTGCCACTTCCATTACATCCGACAATGAAATTTACGTTCGGGTTCAAGTTTACTTCCAAGGCGTCGTGGCACATGAAATTTCGTACTAGGATCTTCTTGATTTTACCACATTTACACTGTAAAACAAAATTATGTATTAAGATAATTCAAAGCACAGTAATTCATATCGAATTATGTAAAATGATAACACGAATGTTCGACATTCGTTCTCATCTAGCTCTCTTCATTCTAATCTAGCTTATGATATATAAGTCACCTCGTCTGAAAACTCAAACTCATCGCTGTTCTCTCTCGACCGTTTGACTTCGTGTTGCTCCGATTCCACCGATTTCCTTCTCTTGGTAGATCTCCTGCTCCTCTCCATAGTTGCAGAAGTAATCACGATCTAAACACGTGTATCAATCGTACCATGCTTTTTTCAAGCTACAAAGCTACTCGTATCACGAATGCTTATCGATTTTATACTGAATAACCTTGAATCGTTACAAATACGAGCACCACATTTTTCTTTTAATAGGGGACAATCGTTTATTAAAAATTTGCCCGTCCGAAACGCAGTACTGTTTATTATTTTACACTACTTCTCCTATGGTGGCTATGGTGCAAACACAAAGGCTTTCCCGCCAGAGAATACTAATGCTAACGTTCCTTTTCAATATACAGCCGACAGCGCCGTGCGTGAGCAGCAACTGCTTTGTAGAATTTCGATTTTCGACAGCAGCGTCGTCCGTTGAGGAATATCGAATAGTAAAACACATTTAACTGTTGCTTGAAGTCATATATGTAATGTAATGATAATAATTTATCGCTGTCTATGAAAAATAGTGCATCGATCCATTTAATAAATACGATAGATTCAAATAATGATTTAAGAATATTGAATCACAATTTCTAAACTGCCGCCAGTTCTTACGAACTCCTCCCACGCGTTGCATTCAGGTTTCCTGAGGTTTCCCCACCACCTGTTGCACAATGTGCACCTTCGAAATTTAAATCGTTGTCGGTTAACGTCTCTCCGCATCGGTTAAAAGTCCAGCGTCACATCTCGTCTCCTACGTCTCCTACGCGATGGGATTAAACAGGTTGCAACCTGTTCAGGCGCGTTGAGTCACGCACGATCGTGTTCCTACCTGTTTTCCATAGACTCGTGTGCCTTCGATTGTTAATGAGGGACGGGTAAAAGTCGTGTATCGTGAAATGAGTGATTCTGGGGACAGTGTTAAGTACAAATGGACTCCTGAGAGCACATCGTTGCTGGTTTCTGTATGGTCGGATGGACAAGTGCAGAAGCAGCTCGAGTATGCGACGAAACCGCAGCTCAACTCCCGTTGGGAGAGCATCGCCCGTTACATGAAGAAAAAAGGGTACAACGTCTCGGGGAAACAATGCAGATCGCGTATGAAACAGGTTTTGGTCTGTTATCGCGAAGCTAAGAGGGCTGGAACCCGGGCTGGTGTCGAGCAATATTATGATCAGATAGACACGGTCCTTAAAAATAAACTAATGGAAGAGCATAATATTAATGGCATAGATACCGTAGGTGAGGCATTAGCAATCAATCGGTTGTTGTCTTTTTTATATCTATCCGAATGATTAAAATTGTTTCTCTTTGACAGATGCTATGGTGAATGCCAAGTCTCCTTTGAAGGAGGAGAAGACGAATAAGAATATGCAGATGAGGCATAAGTTCCAAGAACCTGTTCCTTCCCTTCATCGCACTGAAGCATTATCACCTACTTGGATATTTGGACGTAAGTATTGCATATATCTTACGTATAAAGTAGAGGCACCGGTGTTTATATATTTTATTTTTCAATTTCCATGTAAATGCATAAAATCCACAGTTCTCCCAAATATTGATACCAGTATCTTTAACTTAAGTAAAATTTAAATGAGTTAAACGCTTAACTGGAATATTACTTTACAGGTGAAAATGAATATCCTGATTCTCCTGAATCGAATGAAACTGTGATAGCTCAACCGTACAGAATGTTCTCTCCCACGAGAGACGTGGCCATCAACACCGGCGAACAGTTGACTCGACTAGCCGGCAGATCGACGCAGTGCAATTCGTTCCCAGTGGAAGAGCCACTGTGCGTGAATTATAAACATAATTTGGCACCGCATTACAGAGAGATACCGTTTCAAAATGCGGTGCAGAACGTGCAGAATCAAATAATCCAGGAAAACATGCAGCAGAACCAGAATCATATGTATAACAGGCAAAATGCGTTAGTGAACAATCTGAATTTCCAACAGAATCTACAGAATCTGAATCAGGGTTCGAACATTCAATCCGTGAACGTGCCGGTACAAATTAATCCGATGAGAGCGCAGAATCCTAATATGGAACAGATAATTCAACACCAGAACCAGTTGCAACAAATAATAAATGCGAATAGTCGCGCGATGCCTCAAGAGCCGCGGAGGGCGATGTTAGAACAAAACTTGTATAAACAGAACTACGGGAATTTGTTGACTCATATGCCTCCCGTTCAACAAACAGGTTCTCTATCTCCGGACTATTCACCGGACGTGTCTCAGAACTTGAATGACGCCTTCTGCCAGTCGAAGAACGACGATAAAACGCATAATCTGAACGAGACTTTCAACAGAAATATGCAGACAGTGCAAAACCCAGAGATGACTGTGATGACGAACAATGCGACATGCAACGACGAGAGTTTCCTCGAATACTTAATGATGGATTCGCCGACTCCTTTAGAAAATGACAACAAATCGAAAGACACTGCTGTCAATACGGAAATTCCACATGCCCCGTTTCGAAAGAAGAAAGCTCAGAAACTGGAGCAGCTCGTGTTAAGCGCTATCAATTCCCAGAACGAAGTCGTTAACAAGATACTCTCTGCTCAGAACGATATGGTATCGAAATTCATGGATATAGACAGAGATCGTCAGAATCGTCTGGAGAATCGTCTGGACGATTTGCTGAAAGTCGTTCACCATTCTATGCTCTCTAAACAAAGTTCGGAATCGGACGCGGAGATACCTCCACCGCCACCGGAGCCTACGATAACTTCTTTGGCTCCTCCGCCGAGGCCTGGGATCGCTCCACCTAAATTAGACCTGGTGCCACCGAAGCCTTGTCGCGTCCCTTGCACGGTGCCGAGTTCTAACGTCGAATTGATCAACCAAAACACTGTAATGACCAGACCAGGTGTCGTCTCGCCAATATCCAGCCCTGTGAAGAAGCCTGGCACGATATGGTCGAAATTAGGCCCGGTATCACAATCTCCATTCGTGAAAGCTCAGCAACGATTAGGCTTCCAGTCAGTCGCATCTGCAGCAGTGACTCGTACTCAATCCTCTGCAGAGAGACGTATTGCTAGAGAAGTAGAAAAAGATATGGACCCAAGAACCGTAATGTTCGAAACGAAGAAATTGTTGGAGGCGGAGAAACAATTGGAGGAGAAGATAGAGAATGCTCGGCTCGAGTCAGCTTTGAGTCAGACTCTAAATGCCCGTAGGAGACTGTTCACTCAGAGAGAACCGACTGCGGCGATGATTTTGACTGCTCAGTTCTTGGAAAACGAATGTCACGCAGCGGAGCAGTTCGCCAAGTATTATAATAATAAAATGAACATAGACGATAATTTGTTAGCAGGCCAGGGAGAGGGTTATGATCGTCTGCGAAGATTGAATGTACAGTCTTGTTACAGCGAACCCTGTGATACTTCGACGCCGGCTAAACTAGGAATTGTTTCTGATAACAATGTGGTGGCTAAGCCGACGATTCAGCAATTGGCGCAAATCGTGATGAACGCAGGAAGATGGAAAGATGCCGCAGCACAGAACGGGCAAGCGAACGTACAGAAACGTCAGACGAATGCACGTCCAGTTTCCTATAACGAAAGACCAACGACAAGAGAGCCAGAGATTCCGTTCAACAATGAACAGAGGAGTGATCAGGCATACGTTAACGAATGGATGATGAACAAGCATGGATATCCATCGAACGATCAAAAAGCAGTGTGCAATACGGTAAATCAGAAACCAAACTACCCTATTGGTTTCGTAAAACCGGAGATTGGTAATATAAGGGAGGAGGAATCTAACGGAGAAGTGTGGAGGCCAATGGGGTTCAATGTGCCAGAACGCAAACCCGGCGTGCGCTTCGCGATGGACGAAGCGCTCGCCGAATTGCAACGCATGTATATTGAAACTGTGGTTAAGAAGCAACAAGAAATGAACGACAGTTTGCCATATGTATTGAGCAACGCCAACGCGCTTTCGCCTGATAATCGGCAGATGATCGAGAAGTATATTCACGAAATGATACCGAGGAAGGACAAGGACACAGACTCTGACAACGACGAAGAATTCCTGGATACTACTGCGACGATGCCTGCGATTGCTCCACGTCGAAACTCTATCACTTCCAATGGTACTGGATCCACTGAAACGCATTCCTCAAAAATTCCGAAGCTCGATAACTGTGTAGTAAGTTAATTATATCTACTAGTTAAGAGATTGTCTGAAAAGTTTCCTACAAGTATAATCTTGTCCAAGTCATTTTGCTTCGTTCTTTACTTTTTCAGGCAATCTGTATATGTATTATGTAGCTATTTTGCTTTCATATCAAACACAGCTTTTTTTATCTGAAGAGAAATATAAATTACTATAGAGTCTAAGGGAATTAAGGCAAACGCACATAAGGATCTGTTTTCGAATTATATTTTTTAAAGTCTCGTGCAATATTTAAAGAGATACCTAGCTAAAAACATTATGCAATATATAATGTGTTAATTCTTATGAAATTTTTCGATATTACTGACGTAATCATTCTTTTTAGACTTATGCAATAAATACGCTCGTGCCTTCCGTGATATAATCATTCCTATTAAACGTTGTTAAGTAAACCAAATATTAAAGATTCTATATTATCTTTTATCGTATCGTATAATGCATATATAATTTGTTACGAATACGCAGTTGAATTGCGTAAGAATGTTTTCCTTTTCTCAAATCTTAAAACGTATTCAGTTTTCATCATGTATCTTACTTAGCATCTCATAAAGCATCTCATTTCGTCGAGCCTGTTATGAATTGAACTTCAGTACTTACTATTAACGTTTTTAATGAATGTAATAATTTTATGCATACCGACGCTGATTTTATTTAAACTAATTGAATAATTTCGCGTCGGGAAAAAGTGTGATGGATTTGGAATAAAGAGCAATAAAAACAGCTGTGGTCAATCAACAATATTTTTATTAACGTTTGTAGATATTCATTTTGCATGAACAATTATAGATTCTATAAAACGTTATCCTAATAAAAATCAATTATGAATTGATTCATTTACGGGGTTGTTGAGCTTTCCTTGGAAGAATGTTATGGGATCAGTGTTTTTCGATGATTTGATGATTTTGAAAAGGAACGGATGATCTACATGTACGACTTCGGGCGGGTTGGGTAACATTAATACCATAATTCCTGCTCCTGTGAAAACATAGTAATCGATTGTTAAAGAGGAATCATTTATTTATTCCGAGCTGGACGAACTCTGGAACGTTAAACACGATAAACGAGCAACAAGAATAAAATGCACAGTACAATGAAATGTTGCATGATATTGAACACTTACAACATATCAATGTCGCATTATTTAAAGCTTTAATAACATGCTGCGTAACATTAATTTGACAAGGAAGTTATTTGAAAGGTTTCAAGACAGAACATAATATAACGTGTATTAACAAAGATAGACACTAAGGAAATCATCCGAGTTTCACTATCAAGCCGTTGAAAAGTGGTAATTGCTTATCCTGTTCATATATCGCGAAGTAGAAGGGTCTGTCAGCATGGAAGCTTAGACTCGGTTTGAGAGAATGGAATTCCAGTTCGATACCTAGAATGAAACAAACAATATTTATAAATTGATTTAAATTCATTAAAATGAAAGAGCCCTCATGCAATGAATTTAGTTGACTGTTTCAAAAATGTAATGTAATATTAAATGCATTAACACAGATGAACAGTAAGGGAGTCATTCAGGTTCCTCTATTTAATTTTAAATTAATTAAAATAAAATACCTCTCAAGCAGTGAATTTGTTTGAACATCTTAAAATAGGATGCTTATAACTTTCTGATTTGCCTTACGGCATATCATACGCAACTAGCAAACAGAATCGAAATAGTAATATCTACGTGCAATTTCCAAGGGACACCCATAGATTTCATACCCGGATAAAAATATAATCTCAATAAAAAGACTTAATGCCCTCAAACAGTTATTAAACCATTAAAGGTTTGTCAGCTTTAAACTTTATAGCTGATTAATATGACATTGGCATCAAGAAGATACTTAAAATAATGTTCATTAAACGTTAGGTGCTTTTCAATAATTACCACAAACACAAGCCTGTATGCCCCATATCAGTACATTTATATTAAAAAAAATACAACATAAAATGTTTCCAGATAAGATATAACAAAACACTTCAACATAAGTAACTACAGTGTCTTCATTAAACCACTGAAAATCAGTAGCTGATTGTTATCTTCACGATATATTGCGAAATAGAAGGGTCTGTCAGCTTTAAAGACAACAGGTGGTAGTAATGGCACAAAAATCGCTGAAGGAGCCAGGATAACACCTGAAATAAAATCGATTAAATAGTATGTATTCTTAAATAATTACAAGCGGAAAGGTGTGATCTCATATCAATACATTTATTTAAAACAAAAATACAACATAAAATGTTCTCGGATGAAATATAACAATACTTTTCAAGATAGATAACAGAACGTATTAAGGTTTCGTTATTAAACCATTAAACATCAATAGTGGATTGTTATCTGTACGATATATCGCGAAATAGAACGGTTTGTCAACGTTAAACGTTACAGGCGGTTGTACTGGAAAACGACCCGATTTAAACATCATCACGACACCTAAAATAAAGTGTATTAAACATTAAGTGTTCTTAGATAATTACCAGTGAAAAGCTGTTTGCCACAATACATTTATATTAAAGAAAGTATAACATGGAATGTTCCCAGATAAGATATAACAAAAGCCTTCAACGTAGGTATCGTAAAGAAAGCTATTACAGTTTCGTTAATAAACCATTGAAAATCGGTAAGTGATTGTTGTTATCGCTATGGTATATTGCGAAATAGAAGGGTTTGTCAGCTTTAAAGATTGCAGGTGGTTGTAACGGTGCAAAACTCCGACCCAACGCAATAACACCTAAAATAAGATTCATTAAATGTTAAGTACTTTAAAATAATTAGCCGTGAGAAGCAGTGCGTCCCATATGAATACATTTATTTAAAACAAACATACAACATACAATATTCCAGTATGAAATATAACATATAACATAAAACGTTTCAAGACAGATTAAGTAGCGAAAGCTATTAAAGTTTCGTTATTAAACCATTGAAAATCAGTAACTGATTGTTGTTATCTCCATGACATATTGCGAAATAGAAGGGTTTGTCAACTTTGAAGATTGCAGGTGGTGGTGGCAAACTATATCCAACCATAAGAACACCTAAAATAGAGTACATTAAATGTTAGGTGCTTTTAAGCAATTACAAGTGAAAAGCTGTGCATCCCATATCAATATATTTATTTAATACAAAAATACAACATAAAATGTTCTCGGATGAAATATAACATAAAACGTTTCAAGACAAATTAAGTAGCGAAAACTATTAAAGTTTCGTTGTTACACCATTGAAAATCAGTAACTGATTGTTATCTTGACAATGTATTGCGAAATAGAAGGGTTTGTCAGCTTTAAAGATTACACGTGGCGGTAATATAGGGTTACCCAATCTATCCCAGAACACGACACCTAAAATAAATTGCATTAAGTATTAAGTGTTCTTAAATAATTGGCAGTAAAAAACAGTGCATCTCATATCAATACATTTATTAAACAAAAAAAAAAAAAAATACAATATGAAATGTTTCCGGAGGAAATATAATATTACACGTCTCAAGATAGATAAGTAACGAAAGGTATTAAGGTTTCGTTATTAAGCCATTAAACATCAATAATGGATTGTTATCTACCGCGATATGACATATCGCGAAATAAAACGGTTTGTCAGCTTTAAATATTGCACGCCCTCCTAGTGTTTTCAGCATCCAGATACCTAAAATAAAGTGCATTAAGCATTACGTGATCTTAGATAATTTGCAGTAAAAAACAGTGCGTTCCATATCAATGCATTTATTAAAAAAAAATTACAGTATGAAATGTTTCCCGATTAAATATAACATAAAATGTTCCCGGATGAAATATAACACAAAACGCTTCTAGTTAGAACACAGTATCATAACGAGAGGTATTAAGGTTTCGCTATTAATCCATTAAATAGCACCAGATGATTTTCTTTATGATATATCGCATAATATGAAGGTCTGTCAATTCTAAAGACTGTAGGTGGTTGTGGCATGATAGGCAACGATAGAGGCACGATCTTCATACCTAAAATAAAGTGTATTAAGCATTAAGTGTTTTTAGATAATTGGCAATGAAAAACAGTGCGTCGTACATGAATACATTTATTAAAAAACAAATACAATATGAAATGTTTCCGGAGGAAATAATATAACATAACACGATTCAAGATAGATAAGTAACGAAACGTATTAAGGTTTCGTCATTAAACCATTAAACATCAATAATGGATTGTTATCTGCCGCTTTATAACATATCGCGAAATAAAACGGTCTGTCAGCTTTAAATATTGGACGCGATCTTCCGGTTCTCCACATGAAGACAACTAAAATAAAGTGCATTAAGCATTAAGTGTTTTTAGATAATTAACAGTGAACAATTGTGCGTCCCATATCAATGCATTTATTAAAAAAAAATTACAATATGAAATGTTTCCAGATTAAATATAACATGAAATGTTCCCGAATGAAATATAACATAAAACGCTTCTAGTTAGGACGTAGTATCATAACGAGAGGTATTAAGGTTTCGCTATTAATCCATTAAATAGCACCAGATGATTTTCTTTATGATATATCGCGTAATATGAAGGTCTGTCAATTTTAAGGACTGGAGGTGGTATTGGCGAGATAAGCAACGATAGTGGCACGACCTTGATACCTAAAATAAAATGCATTAAATATTAAGTGTTCTTAGATGATTAGCAGTGAAAAACTGTGCGTCTCACATCAATACATTTATTAAAAAAAAACAAATACAATATGAAATGTTTCCAGATTAAATATAACATAAAATGTTGCTGGATGAAATATAACATAAAACGCTTCTAGTTAGGACATAGTATCACAAACGAAAGGTATTAAGGTTTCGCTATTAAACCACTGAATAGCACCAGATGATTTTCGTTATGATATATCGCGTAATATGAAGGTCTGTCAATTCTAAAAACTGCAGGTGGTGTGAACGACGCATACACCCACTCGACACCTAAAATAAAGTGCATTAAATATTAAGTGTTCTTAGATGATTAGCAGTCAAAAAGTGTGCGTCATATAACAATATATTGATTAAAAAAAAATGTTACGTAAAATGTTTCCAAATGAAATATAGCATAAAATGTCTTCAGATGAAATATAACAAAACCCTTCTAGTTAGAGCATAGTATGAAGATGAAAGTAGAAAGATGTTAAGTTTTAGTTATTCAACCATTAAAAAGCAGATGATTGTCGTTATGATATATCGTGTAATATGAAGGTCTATCAGCTTTGAAGACCCAAAATGAAGTACATTGAATATTAAATGCTTTGAAATAAAAGACTGTACCTCAATGCATGAATTTATTAAAACATATATATGGCATAAAATGTAATATAAAACATTTCATGATAGAGCGTAAGTGACCAACACCATTACAGTTTCTCTGTTAAACCACTGAAAAGCACTAATTGATCATGGTAATGTATCTCATAATAGAATGGTCTGTCGACTTTGAAGATTATAGGCTGAGGTTTGGGGTAAGGACGAATTTCAATTGATTCGTTGTACACGATACCTAAAATAAAGAACAATATACTTTATATTTTTATATAATTAATAATAAAAAGCTACGTGCTCTCAAACAATAAATTTATTTAGATATTTGAAGATAAAAAGTCGCATAGTAAAACACCGTCGTAACAAAAATTATTCGAGTTTTGTTATTAAACCATTAAATAATACTAATTGATTAAAGTTATGATGTATCGCGAAATAAAATGGTTTGTTGATTTTAAAAACTACAGGCGGAGGAGGTACGATGTGAACAGCAGTCAATCCGAATATGATACCTAAAATAAATTCAGTGAAGTATTATATGATTACACAATTAGTATCCAAAAGATATTATAAATGACAGTAATAAATAGGGTCTTAATTAAAATGCTGTAATGAAGCCTACGGTTATAACAATAATGAAGACCGATTTTCTGTTTTACAGATTAATTATGTTTAAGCTGGTCATTCATGGCTTAATTGAGTTTTCGAAGCGCATGCACTATTTATATGTGATTCGTACTCGTAACCGTGACATTCTCATTTCATAAGTTAATTCCGTTGAACACATTGTCTATTTAGTCTTACTTTTCTTAGGGCTCATTAATCTGACCAGAGAATAATGACAAGGTGAAATCGATTTCACGCTGCTTGTCATTTACATGTTTTATGACATGATAAAAAAATGGGTGCTGAGCAAAGAATTTCGGTCGCCGAGCTCTTTTTTGTAACATGAGACCTGCAACAAAATTGTAATAACGATAACGAGCTTTTTCGATACATGCAGTTTTCTCAGCACTCGAAGATAGGAGAAATATTTAAAGATGTATGTATAATTTTTTAAATTTTGAGTTATAAGCGTTTATTGTCTACTACAATTTCCATGTCATGGAGAGACGTTTAGCGGTATACGTCTTCTTTGAAAAGTTTGGTCAGCTCTGACTAGATTCTAATAACCGAACGTTAGATACAGACAAGTGAATCAATAAGACGGATCGAGAGCTCGCCCAGTGAATATGGGGACGTGAACGGCTTCAGTTTCGGTGGTCGCAATTTTCTGGATAATGCTATAAACGAAAGGGCGGTCTATCATCACTTTGGCCCTGTGGATCATACAGCGTGTTGTTAATATCATACCTGGAACAAACCATGATACGACCTTTCTGACTTTCCATCGAGTGACGCTCCTCTCAACTTTTCACTACTGTTGTCACACACACGGCAAACGTGCACTAGACGATCATAGCTAATGTCAAAAACTTAAAGAATTTAGACGTAACTGTGCAGCGATTTTTACATATGCGATATGCATTCGTTTCAAGCTCGAACCTAGATTCGATGAAAAGCAGCTTACTTAAACACGATTCAATGAAATTAAAGGATAATGGAACTGTCAGTAAATTAATGTACATAAATGATGTCTTAAGGTGGTAAATGCTTCTGCATATAAAAATTCATTTATTGAAATCAGTCAAGCCATAGTAAAGCGACTTATACTAAAATGGCAGAGATTGGCAAGATAATACGTAAACTATCATTGTTCGCTCTCCTAAATTGTCGATAAAAAAAGAATACTTAAAGACTGAATACTTTAAGACAGTAGAAGTTATCGTATAAAATCGAAATCGTCTCATTCTCGATAAGGAACGTTATGACATGGCTTTCACTAAAAATAAAATCACGCCGTGGTATCGAACGACCGACAGGAATGGTCGATCGACGTGGATCTCAATGGGCTTCGGCGGTGACCAAAAGTTCGCAAGAGGCCTTATGCCGAGACCTGCCACAATCAATTAACACTGAATTACTCGTTTGAGTCACACTCGTAAATCAAATAGGGATGGCTACTACATACGTACTATCATCGTTCTGCTCTGTCCTAACTGGAATTTCTCTCCGCTTCACGGTTAGAACAGACCCGAACGGTTACAATTTTCTAACTTCTCAACCCCCTAAGTGCTGACATTACCGGGCGTTTGTTACGCTAATTCACAAGTCTGACTGTATTAAAGTGATAAAGACAGGAGAAAGCGAGAGCGCGCCATTTATTGTGAATTACGAAACATTATTGACAGAGATGAAGAGAAATCATGCGGAGTCGAAGTTAACGACTCGCCCGTTGAAGAGAACTACGTCGTCGTTCCTTGTTGTAATTGCATACAAGAACGGTCGGTTTACTTTAATCACTTCTCCGTCGTCGAGGAAGAAGAAATGAATCTCGAGTGCTGTTGAAGAAAACAAATAAATATGGACACTGTTATTAACTGACCGAGCCTCGCCACCATTTGATCCCTCGTCTTCATCTATCATTATATCTCCTTCGCTACAGTTTGTTAATGATTAGCTACGATTTTTAGTTAAGAAGTACAGAGCTATAAGAATGTCCATTCTGATTGTCCGGAACAGAACTTGTTAACAAGCCATCAAGTTTTATCCTCTCGACAATTATTCCTAATACACCAGCAACTATCAGTGTAATTCGTTCGATATCTGATTCCTTCATTCATGAAATGTATTAGTTGACCTTCCAGGCAAGCGTGCAGTAACAAATTAGCGTACAACCAAGCGAATAAACAATAAGAGAAAACAGAAGCCGTCACCTGGTGCAGCAAACGTGAGTAAGCATTTAACTGATTATTATCTACTAATCGTATAATGAAACAGGTTTTACATAGCACACAAATTTCGGACAGTTTGTAGAAAGCAATAAAGCCAAACTGTCCTGAAGTAAACGAGAAATGAAATTAAGCAAAATATTGTTTTTTAACTTCAATTAGTAAAATTATAATAAATGTATTATAATTGTTTTCTATAATTAAATTCTTCTAAATGCATTTCTTTATTTTGCTTAATTTCAACGCGTACAAGAGAGATCTTCAATGACTTACCAGTGGCAGCCGCGGCCTCACTGCCTTCTTCGTTAACTTCGATGAACGCCTTTTGCACGACCTTACTGATCTGCAGCGGTGCGTCAGAGATTCCACTGAAGTTGGCTTTGCCGCTAAAAGCATCGACCAAACCCATCTGCGCAAATCAAATATTAGTATACAAATATTATCCAGAAATCTCTTATGTATATTATAAACTGTGCTACGTACCTTCTGAAGCACGCTGTTAAGTTGTATTTCGCTTTCCGCCTTGAACTTTGGTAAGAATAGTTCCACTTCGCGCACGTGTCCATGCTGCAAGATGCTGGTCAAGCTCGTATTCTGCAATTTCGCCTCGAGCTGGGGCAAACCGTCGATTTCGTCCGGAAGTATGATGACCATGCTCAGCTCTTGACCCTGTAAATTCACTCGCTCATTTTCGGTACCGTAAAATCCAATGAAAACTGTTTCGGTGTCCCGAAGCTTACCTTGTACGGAATCTCAACGAATTTAGCGTTCATGTCGGAAAGCACTCCGTATCTGTAGTCACCTCGACGGAACATCGTAGGAACGTTCTTAGTCGTGTCCTTAGTAATATGGAACGGCCTGTCTTCGGTAAATTGGGCATCGAATTTATGTTGCCATTTACCCTTGAAGTATATCGCGTTAACAAGTACCATCGCCGTATCACTACTTAAATCGCCTATTTAAAGAAAATAGTATAAATGAAAGTATATCTCTGTGTGAGACTGAACAATAGAAGATTTACGAACCTGCTTGAATCAAATCTTTAATAAGATTGTTCGTATTCTGTTCGACCCATGCATTAATTATTTGCGCAGCTTCTACATTTTTCGCAAAATCTAGCATTTGCGTTGCGGAACGGAAGTAGGTCTGCGTCAACTGTGTATAAGTTGGCTTCGGGGGAAATTTGTCAGTTGTAAACACTTTGTTTGCGATCAGAAGTTTGTTCTTTTTAACATTCTGAATATAGAAGAACATGATTCAGTACATGGAATATCGACCATATATATTTAAACAAAGTAAGCATGCTCACGTTGAGTGTATCGATAAGTTTCTGATAACCAGTATGGCCAAGACTATCCGGGGATGGAAGATGAAGCACTTTCTTAAACTGGTTTGCTGTCTCTCCGCCAGCACCGTAGCCAGTCATAGCAAGAACAACGGCTGCGCTCAAAGGAGATGATATCAGATTGCCTGGGTTCTCGTCCACCACAGTCTGCAATGATTTTTTTATATACAATCTCACGTATAGAAATGCGAAATTTATAGATCACGGATTTTTATGCAACGTGAAATATCTAATAAGTTTAAGAGATCTGTTTTAAACAAAAAGTTTAATATACGAAATTCTTCACGAATGCATAAAATCCGCAGGCTGGTCATTTATTATACCTTGAAGAACGAGGAGGAAAATTGATTCGAACTCTGGGAAACGGCATTAAGTGCTTCGAGCTCATTCTCGAGTTTAGCATCGTCTGCCTGCGTCATTGCGATTGAGGCAAAGGCCACTACCAAACTTCCAATTACTGAAAAATAATCATGGAAGTTATTCGATTATAAATTACGATTATATTAATAATTACTCCATCGTGTCATTGTACTTTCTCATTTTCGAATTTAACAGTACGTAACATCGAATACGAATATACGTAACTGGTCCGAATATACCACAGTATTTATTATGTAGACCACATGGTCTCAAGGTTCAAGGTCCAGAGATTCGTGAGACTGAACCACCGAAGGACAACAACTACGTGAAATGATTAACGATATCCGGGACAGTGTTCCAACTAGCAACACAATTCTTTATTATTATTTATCGCCTTCCTCTTACAACTTATATTTATGTAATACAACGTTTGTCTCCACGAGTAGCTGAGATTACAAAAATGAGATATTTTTATACACAGATAAAGTTAACATAAATATAATAATTCGCAATCGATGATTATGTCACTACTTCCACACACAAGCAATTCGTATTATATGACGCATAATTATGTACGTTGATAATCAAAAATGGTAAAATAAATACGAATCAATTCTTATGATTTGTTTAATCAGAAAGCACACTCACAGTAACAGCTCTCTGAGTGATCAAATAAAGGAACAGAGTACAGAACATGTGTTCATATGTAAAGGATGTTAGAGTGAAGGTCTAATCCATTGAGATAATAGAATAATGTAAATTAATCTAAGTATACCAATTTTAGAATAATAACGCAAGTAATTTAACTGCGACGCTGTCGATAGTTTTACAAATAAATAATTCGGTGTATCAATAACTTCGGTGTTTCCCTAAGTATCGATGGGGAATACCCATTTAAACCGCGGACAAACGTTATGATAATTATCTCGTTTTTAACGCGACTATGTAATGACACGTAATTGTCGACACATAATCGAACAATGGTTTATGAACACCAAGTTATAACGATAATTTTCATCCGGTATAAATGCCGGTAAAAGGAAAACGATTGATTCGTAGGAATGATTCATGAAAAATTGTAATTTTTTATCAAGGAATATTTAAATTACTCCTGTCACTAAGGACGATTGTTCTTGGAATAATTAATTGTTCTTCATTTCTCATCACTTTATTTCTTCCTCTACGGTCGCTCAATAAATTCTTGACGAGCTACGACAGTTTTATTTTTGAAAAATTAATAAATTATTGGATTTATTAGACAAGATACGACGCGAAACATCGTAGAATATCCGACGCGAATGGAACGTGATTTTCTTCAGTTTTGTTGGACTCCCTCGTGACGTGAACGGGAATACCAGGTAGATATAGCAATTTATTTCCTACGTGCTTGCCCGTAATTTTTAACGACATATTTTTCACTCACTCGTAGATTACTCAAATTACGCGATACTTTTTATATTTCCTTACGTAATAATAATTGGAAGTTTTTATCAATGATTTTCGACCTATTAAAATTGAATTAGAACAATGCAATTGTTAAATGAATATTCTTATACTACGTTTGGTTTGTACGTGTGAATCAAGGTTTATTTGATAGAGAGACAGAAATATCGGGTGGCAACAAAGAACGTGTTCGAATATGCCTTCAATTTGCATATGTTAAACACGTTTTAAAGATCGCGGATGTAAGCGAATAGGAAATACAGGAATCCATGCGGATAAATGTTATTTACGATCGAGGCAGAAATGAAAATTCAACTGTATTCGTTTGGCTTGTTAGAAGGCTACCCGGCAAGCTGTCATTCTGTCACATATGCGTATGGAAATGTTACTTACGTATACGCATGATTACGGTTCGATCGTCGAGTCCAGTCTTCTTCGAAACTTGAACGTGAACTGCGAGAGGCGAGCGAATGGTACAGAATAAAACCGCGATAAATAACTGTGGGGATGGGACTGGGAAAATCCTGGCAGTGGAAGGAACGAACCTATCAAGGATTCGTAGCGAACGAACAACCAATCGTGCAATACCAGTAACAATTCAACGACGTCTAGTTTAAATCCGATTGGTCCACGACCAAAGAAAATAACAAACATGCTTAGAATTAAGATTAGAATTACCGCCGTTCATGTATAAGAAATTTTAGTATAGATATTTTCCATGAATAACACTGAAAAATAGATTTTTATTGCACAGTGATATAGATAAGCCGCACGGTTACTGCTTACTGCAGTTATCTAAACATGTAAACTTGTTTAAACATTCCTTACGTAGTTATTATTTTTAGTAGTTTTTCCATACGTACAAGATAACTCGATCTTCACTAGCGTTTCTTAGTACTTGATTCCTAACGAAATTATTCAACAGTAACACAATTAAAATTGTTCTGGTTATACAGTCTTCCCACGCATGTATACGCGTGTTTTAATTGAGACGCATGTATACGCGTGTTTTAATTGAGACGCATTTCCTGATTTTCCTATTTCTCAACTGTTTCAGCACATTCGCTCGTAATTTCAAATTGATATAACTCCAAAATGAGCTTCCGATTTCTTTCAAAATTATCCATTTCAGTTTAATGTGATAATTACTAATATTTATTCACAAAGTTATAGCGAGAATAATTTTACATTTTTCGAAATTCTTGTGTACAGATGACTACATATTTATATCATTAAACTGTTGATACTGTTATCTGAGGGTTTTCCACAAGTGTCTGACGTTAAGCTTACGAATCATATTACGTAGAGAAATTTTTAACAAGCCGCTACGACTGGAAATGAAGCAATTAAACAAATATCAATGAGAAAATGACCCTGACCTCTTTAATCACGTCTACTCTCTTCTATTCCACATTGTCGAGATTAGCATTATATCTTTTGACTTCAACAAAACGATTGATCTTCAACACTATATATATCCATGACTCATATATTATTCTCAGCAGCTTTGACAGCCAAAGTTTGACTACCGGCTTGGAAATATTTGACTAATAATAATCGTACTTACCGGATGCTTAATTTTCCACAAATCACGAAGTTGCCGCGCAGTTTCTCGATTGTCCTTTATCGAGGTATAGGTACAGGTACCTACTCACACTTTTACCAATTGGATCAGATCGCTACGTGACTAACGTGACAGATCAGCCTACCCACACGTCGACAATGGTTCCAAACGGACGACAGACTGGCGCCTCGGTAAAAAAGCGCCTTGAAGTTAGCTTTGAATAAAAGCGTAGTATAGCAAAAGGTAAATACTATATAAATTCGGTGGCTCAAATTGCGGGAGTATGTATCAATTTCATTTCTATGATAGTGTTGTATGTGTCGTTATTTTACGATTTACACGTGATCCGCACTTTAGAAAATGAATTTCGTCACGTTGTGAGATGTGTATAACACTTTACCTGATTGAGTTTTAGTTTACGTGCCTCCTGCGTGAATCCCGCACCTTACAATGAACAGTTAGTCCACGTATCGTAACTTATATCATCGATAAGATTATCTTAAGATAAAAAGGTAAGAAATGTGTGTCACCGATATATTTATTGATAGTATCAGAAATATACTATCCTTAATTTTTATTGTATCGTATAAAAGAGAATCATTCTATATATTTTTACGATTGATAAGATCTATGATTTCATCGGATATATCTTTTATTTAAATCTCCCGTGTCCTCCTAATTGTACAGTGTTACGTTGAAGCGATAAGAGACGTTAAGCTTTCTCAAAATACTCGCCGTCAATCTTTATTCCACGAAAAGCTCGATTCCTGTCGCAACATTTGTGTCCTGGATATTTCTGGCAGAGATCGCAACCACACACTGGTTCGCGTGGCTCATGATATCGACCCTTCGGTGGGCAAGGCGGAGGCAGAGGTTTTCCACAGCAACACGGCCTACATGGATCCTAAAAAGTTATTCTACTCAATCATATTGTACTCAATTTGATTTATATCTCTTGTGTGTGTCACGTAAGCTTTATCTTTACACGATGCTTAAAGAAGAAATCTAAAAAATCGGTGTAAGCGGTCTCAAGCGGGATCATAAGCTATCGTGCTTGACGTATGTTACAATTGAAACGAGATTACATATGTAATCAGAAATAATTATACCATAGATTATTATACTCCTATTGACCTAAATTGTGTCAGTAATTTCAGACATTTCAACAACTAATTCCAAATCGTACCTGCATTTTTATGTAACAGCAAGTTGTTCGAACAGAGGGACAGATCTCTTGTCTGGGATCGACGTATGACTTCTTCGATTCTTTGTCTTTATCTTTTTTATCACCGTCCTCCAAGTGATCCTGCGAGCGTTCTTGATCAATCCTTTTCTGTTTATGGGGGCATGCCGACTGTTTTTTACTCGAAGTCCAACGAACTCCGGAATGTACTAATCGAACGATCAATTATATCGATCGGTAATTTATAGGAATCACATCATGAAAAGAGAGACGAATTAATTACCGTAGTCAATGAGTCTGCCCAGATAGCTTGTGCATTTTTCATTGGTCATAATTCGCTTGCTATTTTAAGGTTTTATTGTGCTTTTAGTTTGGTTGTAAGAAGAGCACTTGGGTATGGTATTCCGTTGTGGATTTTAACGATTCATTTTTGTATCAGGTGAAGTTTCGATGTTAACCAAAATTTGGAGCGACTCCATGGTTTATACGGTTGCCCGTATGAATCGGTCCGATGTTCAACCGTTCTTTTTTCATCAACGAAATATATTGAACGGAAATAATTCGGTGTCCCCACCCGGAGGACGTCTCGAAATAATTAAGACAGATAGATAGGTAATATATTTATTTCACATTTAAGAAGTTACAGAATACAAAAATTTCATATCTGTACAATATCACTTAAGACTAATCGTAAGTAACGTACACAAAGCGAAATAAAATACTTGCTGCTGAATATCACAAAGAATATCCTGAGCGATGTAATTTAGCCAATTCAAATCACTATGCTATAGTTTTCCTATTCCTCGACGGACAGCACTGCGGTCGAAATTCCTCGAACCTTTACAACACTGAATGAAATGTGAAACTCTCATCGTGAGTGATTCCTTTCGAAATGAGCAGAAGAAATCATTGATCAAACACGAGCTTCGGAATGAGAAACAAAAAATTAAATTAATACATTCGTGATTGGAAATTGCGATTCGTAAATTTTGTAACCTTAAATTCTGTTATCGTAAATAACAAGCATGGATGCGTACACGATTCTATTAGATAATGAAACAGAAATGTGTTGCACGTTGCTTTTATTCAAAGACGTGGAGAATTCGGATGAAATTCGAAGGAAGGTAATGAACGGGGAGCTTACTTGCTCTGTTGTAAAAGCAGCCCTCGTTGCAGATCCTTTGCAAGCAATAGTGGCTGCCAATAAAGCTGCAGTCAACGCAAAGGTGAATCAACTTACTACGAAGAGTATTTACACTGAAGTGTTATTTAATTTATCGATTTCCAAGAATATATCACGTGCCTTAAAAGAATTTGGTATTAACGACAATGATAAGAATATATTGATAGTACTGATACACGAAAAGAATGAAAAGCTAATGGAAAAGATGATTGTGGACAGCATAAAAGGAGAAAGAGTGTCGATATCGAAATTGTCCGAGTTTACAGATTACGAATTAATAAAGAAAGTGTACAAAATCGAGAAGGACGAACTGAACGTTTCAAGCTTAACCAATTCGGTTGTTTCTAGGATCAGTTGTAAAGACTTTATATCAGTGAAATGAAAGCGACACTTGGCAATTTTTTGATTACTGTAAGAAGACGTGAGAATTTCAAATAAATATTACTTCACATAGTACATGTTTATATTTTGTAATCGTGTAGTAATATTTTATAAACAGTATAATTGTAATTTCCTTACTAATATTAATATCGTTATTAAATCTATATCATGTCGAGAATTCATTAATTCTTTCATCTTAGTTTAACGTTTCAGCAACTTAAACGCTATCATAATTATATCAGGGTGTTTAATGTAGAATTTCAAAATCTTAGTACATAAATATCGCATTTAATAATTAGAGTGTGATACCGTTGAGAAGAAATAATTGTTACGTTCACCAATTTGAAGCCACTCCTGGTTACGGAGTAGCAGGGGATCATTACAAAAAGGAGAATTGGTAATGTATACTCCGGTAAACGATACTTGCTGCATTTTTATTCACTCATAAATAAAGCGAAGTACGCGCTGAAAACAATTTTTATATCCGCAGTCTCGCGCGTTTTACACGTCAAGTACCGCGGGAGCGAAGTCGCGTTTTAAGGACGGTACCCTGAAACGCGTACAAAAGCAATATATGGTACAGTTTGTTACGTGTTCCTTGGCAAATTACAAATTTCACACATCGCAAAATCCGGTGCGTTCAGGAAAGTGCAGTAATGACAAGTCCATTGTGTCTGGTTGGGAGCTGAATTTGCGACCGGATCTGTACCGACCGCGACTCCACTTCCTTCCGCGATTCCGGACGTCGACATTCTCGAATTAGCTTCGAACGTCGACTGCGACGTAGACGCCGTGGTCGCTGACATTAATTCCTCTATCGTTGCCCAGTGCTCAGACTGCGACCACTCTCTTGCCCTTCCCGCATCTTTATTACGGATTGCCTCCAATAATGGTGCCATATGTTCCTGAGAAATGAACGACAGCGTTCAATTACATGAAATTCCAAACTGGGAGTATGACACGTACCTTCATCGGAAACAAATGCATCGTCGCTATATAAATTAACAAATGAAAATCGGTGATTGCTTCCAACAATTGGTCTTTAGTGAATTGTTGCATGTAAGAGCACAATGAGCTAAATTCTTGAATTTGACCATCGATGAGTCTGCAAAGCAAAACTTGGTCAATACAAACTGAAGAACCATCCATTATTCCTGATGTACGTCGCATACCTATTTTCAACTGGAAACGGAGTAATATTTTCACTGACGTAGAAAGTGAATTGCGGGGTGAGTGGTGTTGACACAGGTAGATCGATTAATAAATATTCTACGGGCAAAGGTCTTGCTAACTTTGACACTTCATTTCCATAAGAATCCTTTTCCTGGTGAGCAATATAAAAGTGAATAAAACACAGTAGTTTTATCGTAGTTCAAAATTAATCATTTAAGATCGATTACATTGAAAATCGAACATCTTCCATTAGGAATTCTTGCTATAAATCATCTAACGAGAACTGAAAGGCAGTCGAAGATTTTGAATTTGGCAATTTCTTGCTGGAGCCGATCGTAAGTGTGTACAAGATTTAGGAGGACGGTAAAGGCGAGTCCATAATGGTCAGAGAAATGCGCGCGCGCGCCCGGTAAAAGTAGAAGCCGCAGACGACGAGCTAACCGCGCCGGCATCGTTTTGCCACGAGTCTACCCTGCGGGAGCGTGTATATAGGAAAGAGAAAAGAGAAAGACGAAAGGAAAGCGGAGGGGTTGCATGCGCGAGAAGGAGAAGGCGGGTAGTTTAGGAGCAGGGGTCCGGGAAGGGGGCTAAGACACGGGACGAGGACGAGGCGAGGAGAGCAACAGCGTAAGCGAACTAGCGCGTGCTGTGGTGTGTGTCGGTCGGTCGGTCGGTCGTCGCCGCCATGCTAGTGGTTAGTTTAGTGAACCAAACATCATGATGTGGCAAAACGTTCGTACGAGCTAAGACTGAAGTAACCGCCGCGTTACCGGCGCGCCGTCGTTATGTTAGCCACAATAACTCACGACGTTCGATAATCACGTAAACACGTAACGTAAAGAAAAAAAAGTACAAAGGAAACAAAAACGCGAAAACGCGCTCGAACAAAAAGTTCCACGGCGGCAGCGACGAACGGACGAGCAGCTCGATCCCTGCGTGCGGAACCGCACAACACTACGCCAGTCCCGATGTAAATTAAACCCGAATCGTAGTAGATCTAAACGCGGAACCGTTACGGAACGATATCGTCGTGCACGATAGGAAACGACGAGTGCCAACGATCAGCCTCCATCGCGCGGCAAGGAGACGATCACGAATCGTATACACGGTACGGAAATATTTACGCTCCTAGAATCCGACGAAAGAAAGAAAGAAAGAGAGAGAGAGAGTGTATGCATGCTGTATCTATCGTGTGTCCCTTACTCGCGTGCAACGAGGAAAAAGTGTACGAGGAGTACGAAATACGTGACTGCTTCTCGTGCGCGCGCGCGGTTACGTTCGTCGCCAGTGTGAACAGGGCTGTGTGCGTTGTACGTGGATAAGATGAGAGAGAGGGAAAGTGCGAAGGAAGAATAGAAGAGGATTGACAAGGTAGTGAAAGAAAAGGGAAGCGTGTACGTACGTACGAGCTTAGAGATGATCTACGGATCAACTACTATCCGTATTCCCGCGGAATTTACCTGACACGCAATATTCGTTTGGAACGCGGTCTTGTCACGAATACTGACAGTGTAATATTGTGATAGGATACTCGTTGATAAGACGAGGGATCCATATATCATATGAGCGAAGGTTTTATCGGCTCCGGGTGCGCGTGTATTGGTGAAAACGGTTCGCGGGGTAAAGAAATGCGAGCACCCTGTACGTCCACCTCTATCGACTACCTCCCCTTTCGAATACGTTCTCTCCGGCGAACAGTAAATCACAAAACTTCGACTGTCCGACCCCCTTAGGTTTTGGCGGGATTTTCCACGCATGCGCGGTCCCGAGTCAAATGTCATTTTTTTATATTTTATTATAGTCTCGAATAAGTTACAAAAGAATTTTCCACGGTTCCTATGCCGATTGCTGATCCTTCCCCGGCAAGTTGCGATCGAACACTGTATAACCAAATCGAGTGAAAGAATGTTTCCAAACGAATGAATGAACGTAGCTTGATCAATTTCTATTTTTGATTCGTAGAACGTCGAGTGTTACTTTGTCTATCTGTATCGTGTTTATGTTAAAACTGGTGCTTGTTAGCCGTGTGTACACAATGTGTTTGAAAGAGAAACGTTCTTGAATTCCAGAACGGCGAGACCATTGAGAATCACAATGTATGTTTGTATCAGTTTAAGAAAGAGAAACAGTTATTAAAAATATCGTACAGTAGAGCAACGTGCTTCATTTTAGAACGACTCGTATCATAGATTCTTTTAATACAATTTACTTACGATCAAATTCACGTTTGTAGTAACAAATAATTCATGAGAAGAGAGAAACCAGTATACTACGTAAACTCGTTCTTGTTATTGTCGATAAGTGTATTGAACTCGACCTTTAACGCTGTTTCTTCGAACGATAGAATACGTGTATGTAAAACTTCGCGAATCGTACGAGCACGCGAATATTCCTGACACGTGCTCACCGTCGAATAATTAACAGAGAACGTTCTCTGTCGTTTTCCAGATGCTGGATCCGAGCGTACTAACGGATTTAGAGGAACTGACGCTTTGCAGTTATTGCAAGCAGAAGTATAACGACGCGGAACAATGCCCGAAATATCTTAGTTGCAAGCATTACTTTTGCCTGCGTTGCATAGAGAATAATTTCTTGAAGGGACGTGAGTTGTTTTGCGCGCACTGTTGGAAGAGGACGGACCTGGGCGACCAAGGACCAGACGCCCTACCGACTCACTCTCCTCTCCTCGCTCTAACCAACCATTTTCCTCACTTAAAAATCACCACGAACAACACGTCTGGAAAGACGAACGACAAGGAGAGAAAGGTACATGACGAATTGCCGTAATCAGTTTTTCGCAGTTCATACGCGAATGATGAAGAAAGCATGCGAGAAGCCATATTCTAGATAGCTCGTACTAATAGGATTAAGTTATAAGGGCTACGACAGTCTCCTGTCGAGATTCTAGACGATGTATATTAGAAATTCTTATGGTCGCCCGTAAAGAATGGAGAACGTTACGAATTTGCATGATTTATATTATTACAGAGTGAAAATTGTCACACGCACGGTATGCCTCTGGCATTGTGGTGCGCGACATGCTGCACGGCGCTTTGCAGAGCATGTGCCACTCCACAGGAACACCCGGGTCACCAGATTAAATTGCAAACTGATGCCAAAGAACAACTCATAAACGACGTAAGTGTTACAATGAGTTCAGTTCCATCGTTCATGGATGTGCTAAGAACGAGATCGAGTGAAGGTACATTAGGAGAATCCCATGTACTTACAGGTTCAATTGGAGTTAGTTGCTATGGGAAAGCTATCGACCGAGATTCAAAGACTGGCTATGCAACAACGAGAATTCTTAATAAAGGTGTTGGAGGCTTGCGTGACGCTGAAGACGCACGTCGAGACTGATCTGCAGAACGGCTGGAGTCACTTGCCCGAGATAACGGAGACACGGGAGACCCTCGGGAAAGCGAAAGCCAGCCTACAGATGATCGACAGTCCCAGCGACGTGTACAATCTCCATTCGCAGCTGATGTTAGAGAAGCAGAGATTGCAGTCCAAGTACCAAGAAATGATGCTGCAGTGCCAGCTCGACGATCTTATCGGTAACTCGGGAGTGGTGTTCGATTTCGCGTTGTTGAAGCAAGCGCTGGCCGGTATCCACACGGGGGAGCCGATCGTTTCTCAAGGGACGAGCAACGGCGGCAGACTACCGAACCACTTGGCGGCTTCACAGAACCCGGTACTGTTCCTCGCAAACTATTGCATGTCGCAGCTCTACTCGAGACACGTGGTCAGTAAACAGCAGCACATGCAGAACGGTTCTATAGAGTATCACTCGAGCATGATGCAGCAGCAACCGGCTCCGCCGGGTTCCGTGCACGTGCACCAAGGACCGCCGCCGTCGGCGACCCCTCAGCAGCTTCTCATCCCGCCTGGTTCGCCGTCCGTTAAACCAGTTCCGCCCGCGCCTCCGAACGCGATGCTGCACCCGCAGCAACAGTCGACGTTCATACCGGAAGGAGTTGGGACCGGCAGCGGGAGCCTGGTCACCGTCCACTCGTCCTCTCAACCGCCGTCCAGCGGAATAGCAGCATCCCTCCGGGGCCCCGCGAACCCCTACCCTTTGTATTACTTCAGCATCGAGGTGAACGGATCGCCGCACGGTCGCATCGTGATAGAAGTGAGGCCGGACGCGGCGCCGAAGATGGCGAAAAATTTTAGCGTGCTCGCGACCGGCGAGATCGGGATCGGTTACAAGGGCTGCACGATCTTTCAGTGCTGGGAGGGCGAGTCTGTGATCACCGGCGACTTCGAGTTGAACAACGGTCGCGGTGGGAGGAGTATATACGAGGACGGATACTTCATGCCGGACGACACGAAATTTCCCGCAGTGCGAGGAGCCGTCGGCATGCGGAGGACGCAGAAGCGGCACGATAATCTCGGCATGGTGGGCTCGCAGTTTCGTATAATACTGCAGGAGATGCGCGGGTTCACGGGGATCTTTGGCCACGTCGTCGAGGGATTAGAGTTAGTCGAGAAGATATCTACGTTCGGCGACCAGACCGGCAAGCCTACGAAAAATATTCTAATCACGAAATGCGGTAAATTGTAACGACGACACGCTACGCTGCTGCGGTTAGTATACACCGAAGGGTAAATCATGCGTTACCCCCGTATACTTTGTTTTCTCCGCTCTAGATAACTAAAGGAAATTTTAAGATGAGTATCGCGACGGTACCTCTGACAGCGTCAGGGAATGGGATGTTTAATTAAGCAAAGCAAACAAACAAACAAACAAAAAATGCAAAAAAAATCATGTATACATAGTATCCGATGATAAATGATATTACACGTCGAGAGACACCGTCGCGAGCGTATAGCTCCATGGTCTCGATGCTCCGTACGAGTCACACAATTTAATTAACTATTAACAATAGAATTCTAAAGATGTTGAATCTATTTTTAAAACGTGGACGCGTAAGAGAACGAAGAAGAAATAAAAATCCATATTTTGCTATTGATTGGGAATCTGTATGATTCTGTATCTACAATAACGACGACGATGATGATGATCGATGAAAAAAATACGTACCTCAAGATCGATCGTGATATCGATACGACTTCTAGCTGTACGATATTTGTTTTAGAAGAAGTTCGACGTTTATTTTGGCTATTGACATATTGCTACGTATAGTTGATGTAAAGGGCGATATCGTACGGGATTTAACAAGAGTTAAACGTGGGTTTAACGGCATTCTCGTTGCCGATGTTTTAGGTTGTAGGTAATAAAAAGAAAAAGAGAAAAAAATACGTATAGATGAGAGGAGTACGTACAGAGAAAACGGGGCGAACTCGTGTGCACGTGCATCCGTATATTTGTAAAGGAACAAACAAACGTACAGGCGGGAACGTTCTTTTTTTCGTTTTGTAACCGCGTGACTTCGTAAAAGTCAAGAGAAGAAATCGTGATTCCATATACGCAGGTCGTTTAGAACATTGAACGATACGTCGGTGCGTGTGAGGGCCAATTCTGTGTATCGTCCGCCGATCAACGATCGCGTATCGTTCCGTTTATTTTTTTTCTTGTCCGAGGAGAGAAAAGGAGCTAAAAGGGAACAAGTAGATGCGCGAAATGAAACGAGTCGGGGAAAATTTGCGGTTCCTATCGGACGACTCGAGGATACTCCTCCCTTTTTGCTCTTTGCCGTCGCGGTCGTCGCAGACCCGTCGTAAATTAACTGTATTTAAGATTAGATCTCAACATGAAAATGTATACAAGGCCTAACTACTACTATGTAGATCGTAAGCCTCGTCGTCTGATGAGAGAAAATGAAGAAACGAACCGAAATGAGCGAATATATATTATAACGAATCATTCCTCGATGCTGTATGTCGATAATTTAACGACGTTATATACTATACTCGTTCGAATCCTCGTAAAAAGAAAAGTCCCATCGTTATGTATCATACTGTCGTGTACCCGTGTGCGAGGGACAGCGCGTCGAGAGAAAGAATAGAAGAGAAAACAAGTGTCGTCTGTAAGTTGGAGCGTGTGAAACGAGTAGCGTACTTGGCGTACTGTAGGAAATTCGCACGCATCTCGACGTCGCGGATGCCTTTTTCGAAGAAAGCCTCATTCGATGTTGAACTTGAAAGTTTTAACACTTGTTAATTAGCTGATTCATCGCGGTCTAGCAATGAAACGAATGGGTGTACTTGTTGCGTCACGATGAAACGTTAAGTAAATCGCCGTTAGAATTAAAGAAACCACTGCGTAAATACGTACGACGATCGAAGGGTGGTCGAAGCTCGAATCAATTTCTCTCGTTTCGGTCGTTGCGAACAAACGAAACAACCGCGTGAAACCCGTCGCCGCCGTCGTCGTCGACTCTCGAATCTAGACGCGAATAATTATGTGCATGTTTTACCGAACCGAGCGAAGCTATAGAAGCCCACCTGTATACACAAAAATATCCACGCGCGCGCGTACTATATATATTTTTATGAACGTGATGAGGTAACAACGCATAGCTTGTAATATTGATTCTGACGAACCCGTGGGCTCACCTTGCCCCTCGCGTTCCAATTAAAACGGTTGAGCGGTTATCACCTCTTTCGTCCCACCCCTTATTCTTTTCTCTCTCACTCCTATTTTTTCTATTCCTCGTTCACCTTTTTCGTTTTAAGTTAAGGCGTAATCATCGTTTACATACGAAAATTGTGGTCATTTTGTTTACGGCCTACGAAAGCGCATATTCGTAGTGCACTTTGCTTAAACAGTTTTATTATTTCATTATACATGTACGAAAAACGAAGTTCGTTGCCCAAGTTAAATGTACTTTTAATCAATCGATTTTGAGTTATAAACTGTTTCTCTTTCACCTTCGTCGACGGTCTATGAAACCCACACCTTCCTTAACACTTAGCACGTAAGATGTAACATCTCTTTGTTCACCGCAATGTCCACGGTACTATTTTAATTCGAGGCAAACAGATTTCTTTAGAACAAAATGAATGTACTCACCTTATAGAAGACGTCTGGAACGTACTGTTTATCCGTCGACTCAATTACATAGCCCAACTCTGGAGCATCTTTCGTAGGAACCAAACAGCTATCTCTTACTAACGTTATGCACTGATTCGACACTTGGTACCCTTCCATGTGAATCTGATTCTTGTTATCGCCTGCAACCAACGAGTACGAGGCGCTAAGTACAAATAGTTATTAAATACGTCGCGCATAACGAACGAGAACTTACCAGTGACGCAAACGGTAACAAACTTCGAACCAAAATAATTATTAGGAGAGAAGCGGCAGGGATTTGGATGCTTGTTTTGGAAATACCCGGCCATGATACACTCTTGAGCAGATAAAAAGTGACTTTCTATATTTCGGACGTGTTTTACCTGAATAAACGAAACTGACGCTATTAATCAAGGACTTTGAATCATCCGAATCACGACGATCTAAATATAATTACCGTGCCCTTCTTAATATCGTCGGCTATAAGATCAGTAAAAATCCATCCAACTCTTTTTAAATTAAGTAAATGAGCCAGCTCGTCCACTACCGCTTCCTTCTCGTCCGGCAGAAGTCGTATAGAATTTTTTGTACTTTCCTGAAAACATCAAAACGATGTAATACTGTAGAGAACAACGATCTTCTCAGCATTTATCGCGTCGTAAATCACCTGTGGTGGCTCGTAAATAGCTGCGACGACAGCTCTTATCCCTAACGGTACGTCTGTATGCACTTCGTATCTTCCGTATAAAAATCCAACGCGTTGATGCCCGGTACTACGCCAGTAATTCAGGAAGCGCTCGACTAAGTTTGGATTCTCAAACATCACGTTGTCCACATGGCGGTAAGGTTGGCGGTTTAGAGTAATGGAACTTGGTTGACACTTGCTACAGATACCTCGTGGCCAAGGTGGATGATCTTTGCAACCAGTCTTTATACGGCAGCTTATATCGTCTAATTGTATAAACTTCCCTCTGTAAAGGACAGGGACACTATTGATTAGAACTGTGCGAGAACACGACGATCCGGATGAGATCCGTTCTCGAAAACGTCGACATTGTTCATATTAATCAATGTACCTATCAACGCCGGTAGTAAGCTTTCTGAGGTACGCGTGAAAAGATAAGTGTTTTATGTTTTGTTCCTTAAGGTAAGCTTCGTCGAAAGGTTCTAAAGGAGTACAATGAACACAGCACCCGTTTGCACCATGTCTACACCTATTAAATTACCACATAGTTATTAAGGATCTTCTGATTGTCTCATAGAACGCGCGTTTCTACTTACAATTTTTCATCACGTTTTCTTTGTATTTTACCCTCGAGTTTGTATAATTGTTCGTCAACCTCGTCGACGTCGTTTGGCATAGATCGGGGAGTATTGCTAGTATGGTTCGTAATTTCTGTCGTATCCATTGGCCCTGGTTCTGGTATCAGTCGAAATTTAAATGATCGAAGTAAGTAAGATAGGGTATATAAAAGAGTATGATCAATACCTTGGGAAGTATCCATGTTGGCAGTACTAGTTGAGGGAGCACTCCACAATTGTGTATTGTTCTGGGGAGCTAAGTATAACATATCTCCGTGAGAAAGACCTGCTCTAGCAACTGTTTTACTTTGAGAAACTGGAATTTCATTTTTATGATTGCGCTCCTTATAAAGTACAAATCCAATGGTATTCAGATTGAAGGCTTTGGAAACCTGAAAGTTTTCAATTGTATGATCATCGGTCATCACTGTTTATTGCACAATATGATTGGAGGACAAACCTTTTCGAACAATTGAGCAATTGTGTCAGAGAGATTTACATCTATACGCTTCGTTCCCTCTGCACACTGCACACGCAGGGTCTACAAACGAATACAGAATATATTTCAAACACTGAATGTCTAATAAAAACACACGAATGATCAAAAAGTATCTGTTAACAGAAATGTTTACATTCTCACTACACTGAATATTAAACGAATTGCTGTGATTTATAAAAGGTAAATGCCAATGGGAATTTGCACGTGGAATTATGTATTGAACTGAATTCTGTATTGCTGAGAATATTACGTTTAATACCGGAGATTTTGAAAAAGTATAAAAGGAAAACAAGTTCGACTGGTGTCTGGGAACTTTTAGTAAGTTTCCTCGGTGTCACCGCGTGAAACGTGAAATTCAGCCGTTTTATGAAAATAATGGACCGGTTTCTAAATAAAATATTGTTCGCCTTTGATCGAATGGCTCATTCGAATTTATCGCTCGAGGTTAATCGTTTAACGGTGGTTAACTTACGATTTGTCTAGACTTTGACATTTCGCCGGTGTTGAGAAAGCATCAGCTGTTCGACCCCCGTTCAACTTTGTCCGTTCGTAACGGAGTATCTCGAAAGTCCCTAGTGAGCACAAGAAAATTGTTGAGTCAACGTCTAGTATCTTAACCTCTTCGAAAGATTATTCGAAATACCAGACAAACGCTGTTAACTATGGTGTTTCCTACTCACTTTAATCGTCGACTCGATCGTTTTCCTTCGAACGGTTCCGTAGCGCGCAACTGAAATCGATGAGCGATACTCTTTATCTAACATTTACTCTCGATCACCGCGCTTCCTTGTTACTCACCAACAAACCTCCGACAGAACTTCAACAACTGCACGTTATCCTTTTATTGTTAGCGGAGAACAGATTAACGACGCGCAGAACTACGAACGCTAGAGTAGGTAAGTTCGTTATTAACATAAAATGAAAGTCAAATTGTCACACGTTTTTTCGTTGTTACATGTATACACCCGTTTTTTTCCCCACGCGAATCGGGGCGAACGGCGGCCAGCTATTAACTATTAATCAGCGTGAACGTAAATTCGGCAGTTGGACGAGACTCCGTCTTACCCTCGTTTTATTTATTACCCTCTGGTTCCTCGCACCGAAACTTTGGAACGTCAAAAAAAAAGGCGAACGCGTCTACCGTACTTTTTGAGTCACCCCGTATTTGCTGAGTAATCTTGATATTCCCGATCGTTTCGCGCTACGGTATTGGCCACTCTTGCGTTTATTTTTTTCGACACTTTCACTTACGCGGATCTTTTTCGAACGTCAAAGGAACGGTACCAGCATTACGCAACGCATAATTCGTTATTTTTACCATTTCATTTTAAATAGCTCGACACGGGAAGATAGGGAAACGTAGAACAGCAACGTAGGTTGTTGAACCGATGGTAAATTGGTATCCGGTCATGGCCACGGTGGCGGTGGCTGCCAATTACCAGGTGATCATCGTCTTCGATTAAAAATAAGACAAATCATTTCCTCTATTTACACATCGTTTTTAACGAACGGAATATCATCGCGACAATTCTACAACTTCGCGGAATTGCTCCGGTCTTAGAGTTTCGAAAGTTCGTGCCGTTCCTCTTCGAAGGAAATTCAAATCTTTCAGTTCGCAAGCAAACTTAAAGACACTCGTACGAATCAGATCATAAGAATAATTATCTGTGTAAAAGTGTAATGAATCTGATAGGCGTCGAAATCTGCTACAATACATATGTATTTCCACTATCCCTTTTTCAAACGTTCGAAATGACAGGTACTTAATAGCAACTGTATACTTTACCAGATTTTCTACCAACGAGAAGCCGCCAAGAGGACGCTTAACATCGTAATTATTTTATGCAAAACGCAAAATAGATTGTGCAATATTATATATCGCGTTATTGGCCGTGATGCCGATAGGCGCAGGCTTCGCGCGATGACCCTCTTACCTCTTTACCGTTTCTTCCTGGCAAGTACGACTACCGCGCCGTGTCTCCGCACTGGTCCCCGGCTCCGGCGAAGATTTCGCCGCGATCAGTTGCATTTGCTAGCCAGTAGTCATCCAGCAGCTATCATACGTGCCGTATCATCTTCGAATACCGGTTACTGTTCGCTCGTTCGTTTTGACGTGCCAACGTCAACCCGGCTTGGCTATCTTTTCGATCATCCCTGCGAGACGCACCCCGATAATCGATCCACCTGTTCGTAGATCGTCAATGAAAACAGGAGGGTAGGTACAAGTAGTACCTTGTTGAATCTCATGTTAATTAATCTCAATATAATCTCATTTAATTCCTTTATTCGGTTTACATTCACGTTTTACATTAATAACAATGTATCTTAATATTTATTCCAGCCTTAACCTATTCCGGTCCTTAACAAATTATTGTCTATACTATAATCGTTCGTGTCTTCCTATTAACGCTTGTCATTCTCTGTAAATCCTAATATTTGTCGATGATATTTTATCGTTTTAAGTAAAAAGTGTAGATTCTAAGGCGTTTCTTTAAGTAGTTTAACTCTATAGAAAACTGTAGGCAATTTGTCAGGGTTAAATATTCGCGTCGCTCTTAAATTGCCGCGTAACCAGGTTTGAACGTCATGTATCGCTGATTCATCGTGTATAGGTAGCTCCCTGATTGAACGGAATTATTACGTGATACAGAATGTGAGATCATGTTTTAAGCTAGTGTTTCGCTTTTATTTTAAGTTTTTAATCATGTATCACGTAGATATCGAACAAAATGATGAATATTTGAATGAGACGTCGTATTATTACAGTCTACCGCCTTTCATACGTGCTAATTTAGTACGAAATGGTAAAGGAGTTGGCAGATAGTCGCTGTATCAATCATCCGCGAAAAATAACAATAGGATCAGCTGGTCTCATATTTTTGGCCGACGGCATGGACGTGTATTGATCTCGCACACGCGACGAGGATCATCTACGAGCCACAACGATCGATCTCATCCATCTGTGACATTGAACAGCCGTCTCGCGGTTCCACGCGTTTTACGTTTTTAACCAAATTTTTGGTCGACCCGCGTTCACATTTTCTTCTCGTCGGAGAAGATTGAAGTCTGCGAGAAGTTTTTGGAGTCGAAGCTGAACGAGTTCAGGGCGCGAGCGGTGTATTTACGTCCCTCCACTCATTACATCCATCAGAGTAGACATAAGGAGGTGCGTTGGAATGAATTCGCCGCAGCACGAAAAATAGATAGATAGAAATAATAAAGTTGAATGTTTTACAATTATTCATCATTAAACTTCGGATGCTTATGCATTTATGGGAGTTTTGATAATTTGAAGAAATGCGGTATGCCATAGTTCGTGAAGAAATACAGAATATCCAAAGTGAAATTTATAATATTTAGGGGAGAAGATAAATGTTACGCTTATAGAAATAGGAATTTGCAGACACATCCATAGTATAATTAATTGCAATTAACAGCTGAAAGCTACGTCCGAGATAGATGACTTTCTCATTTAGAACGTGATAAGTTAAGCATGTATTGGCTATACAGTCAATCCCAAACGTTTATGCACTTTAGAAACGCATTTTTTAAAAAGAAATCAGATGTCGGAAGAACATTGCTGATAATAAACAATAACAAAAATTTTTCGATTTTTCCGAGATTTTTCCCTTCAATTTCTTCCAAATTTTCGTTTTTGGCCAATAACTCCCAAACCGTTGGACATACGGAAAAATTGCATACGACCTTTCTTGTAGAGGACGACGAGATCTATAATTTCTGTATAAAAAGTTTTCGCTAGCGTCGAGTGTTAATGAGTTATTTGCAAAACACTGTTTTATCGTTTTTCGTTAATAACTCGTAAACTATTGACGCTAGCAAAAAACTTTTAGACGGAAATTGTAGATCTCGTCATCCTCTACAAGAAAGGTCGTATGCAATTTTCCCGTATCTCCAAGGGTTTAGGAGTTATTGAGGAAAAACGAAATTTTTTCCAAAAGTTCGCCGTTTCGACGCTGGGATGGTCGGATTTTGTCAACATCAATAAAATGCCAAATAATCATACTTAACTCATTAAATATCAAAATTAGAAGAAAAGTGCACTATTTTTAATGATAGGAAATGCGTTTTTCTAAAGTACATAAACTTTTGGGATTGACCGTGTAGCCAATACATCCTTAAGGTATTCTTATCGCGAGCCTGGGTAGGTCTGACCGATTAATCAATTTAGGCTCTTTGAATCTCCTCGTGAAATTAACAGTGAACGTCTCCTTCTGTTTGTTGCAGTCAGCCAAGATGGAAAACGCGGAAGGTGTGAAGACCTTTGTGCAACTGTATATTTACGACCTGACGAAGGGCCTCGCATCTATGATGTCTGGGCTCGTTATAGGTAAATTAAGAACACGTATCTTAAGCGAAGAATTGAATGAAACGCGGAACGAGGTTTTGATCAGGAAAAAGGTGAATTAACTTTGCCTCGTCTCATTTAAAAATACACTTCTACGTCTCGCAGTTACATTCATACGTATACAAAGTAAACAGCAATAAGTAGATATTTTTAAATACTGACAAACGAAAACGCAGAATCTGTCTCTCTAATTCTTGGAAGTACACACGCGCCGTTGAACAATAGAACAATGGGATAAATGAAAATTGCGTGTAATAATTAATAATTATAATTGCATTTCCAAGCGTAATTAAATCACTGGCCTTACGAAGTCCCGTTCAATTGATCATCGCTTTACTATTTTGTCTAATCAAGACTTCGAAGGAGGTAACTGTACCGACAGCTATTTTAGGAGGGCTTTTTCTCGTCAACGTTTCGATCACGAAATCGCGCGAGTCGACATCCTTGGAATCGAAACAATTTAAACAGGACAATCGGGAAAATCGGACGAAGGTAATTTGGCACAGTAGCGTTTGTCATTGGGATTCTGTTCCCTGATTTTAATTTACTCTAAATTTAGCCTACGTAAATAAAAGTTCTTTGATCTGTCCTACGAGTTCTACAAAAATGCTCATAAAAGTCTTTAAAACAGGAGGAGGAACGAGACTAGCTTTCGTACAATGAAACAAATCGACGAATGTTCCAAATGATAATTTGGAAGATCGAACGAAAGTTTAAAATAACGTCCAGAGGACGTACTTAATGAGCGTCATAGCCGGGTACTTGCAGACGGCCCGGCCACGTATTCGTGGATACGTGGTATGCACAATACGGAAGCGGACACGGGTGAAGGGATAGTTTTCGATTCGTACGAAATTCCGTGGAACCGTTGTAAAATCCAACGCACCTCGCACGTGCCTCCGTTTACGTCACGTATATCCAAGGCTCGTTCGCCACTCGCGATCAGTCGTCGAGCTTGCGGATCTATTTTCAGAACCCGCTAGTTGTAATTGTTCGCGAGCTTGGTATTTCGCACTGCACGCGATTCTACTTACAAACAAATAAAAACTCGTAGCTCACTCGCACATTTGCCCACGCGGAATGCCCACGCTCGAAGACGAATCATGCATCGAATGCAAATGGACATAATGGACATTATAATTAAGAGACAATGGTTACATCGTCTGATTTGGGAAAACGATGGCACAAAGAATCTCCTTATTTTTATCGACCCTCCTAATTCAGCATCGCTGTAATGAGTTACATAATCCTTTAAAAGCGTGGAATTGTCAGCGACCGGTGCAGCTATTTCTCGTGGTTATTTCACCGCGCGGTGACCCTCCCAGAAACGCGCTGCAATAAGAAAATCGCGGATGTGCCTAAGCTATTCCCGCGATGAGAAACTAGGTCGAAGGAGATTCGAGCCGACGAAAACGAGCCCGAACCTCGTCCAAGCCTACCTAAATTATATTCCACTGACATGAGCCATTAAATATTCTCTATGTTACGTACGCAACGACCACGCTTGTTCCTTGAGCGAATCTCAGCTGCATTAACGTGCGCAATGTGTCTGTCAGTGGACAGCAACATGTAATAACTTGCATCTTACACTTCTATATTTAAAAATGACAAATTATGTCAAATCATTTATTTTGTGAATTTCATATGGAAATTCATTCACCGAGCGAAGTTAATTCGTATTTTATTGATAGGTCGCCAAGTAGAAGGGATATGGCACACAGCTATCGTCGCCTACGGAGGAGAATATTTCTTCGGACCCTCTGGTATCCAAACTCTACCACCCGTGAGTATCTCCGAGTAATTACTCGATTATTCTAAGTAAGAGAAACATCCCTATATTAAAAATATACAATTTTTTTTTATAATTGAACGACTGTCTATGGCGAGGATCTTATAAAAACGACGGAATTAGAATCTTTCGGGATGCTGATGTATACCGGAAGACGTATCTTTCTTCGAGCAGTTATTTTAGACAGCAGCAGCTCTAACGATAACAAGTAAAACGAAGGAAATCTTTAAGTGTTTCGGAAAAAAAAAAATTGATACGTGTGTCAAGTCGCCCGAAATGCACGTTGGTCACCGAAACGGTGACCGGATCGGACCACGCGCTGGACGCCGAGTCATTCTGGCCATACGATACGCTAGACATGGGTACTAAATTTGGTCCGGTTGAATCTAAAAATAATTGCTTTACTTCATCGTACTCTCTTTCTCTTCTCTCCCTTTCTCATGGCTTTCCTAAGACCTATCGTTTAGATTCTACCGGGAACCGATCGGAAGTCTCTTTCTCTTCCTCTTCCATTAAAATTTTCCTGTATGAAACCTTCGAACTTATTTGAAAAACAAGATAATTTCCCATCAGGCAGAATGCAATGCAAGACGGAAGAAGCTGTTTTTCTGATTGTACTCGATCTTTCCAATTATTTACGAAGAACAATTAACGAGGCTCGCCATTTCTGATCTTTAATCTTGTTCGATTGTACGCGAATCGACTCGTGACAGAAGCTCATGTCGACCACGCGGTTTTGCTAGCCGGTTCGCAGAGCTTCTTGCTCTCGGGGTATAGCGGACGATCAGCTGGCCAGGTGTTGTTCGAGTGGTCGCGTCATCGAAAATGCGAACCGAAACCGAAACTGGCGTCGAGGCGTGCGCGGTGCAATGCGAACTCTGAATATCGTTTGTCTTGAGTTACGCTCTTAGCCGGCCTGCGTGGCGTCGAATCTTGGGGCACCGCGACGCCAGTTCGCATCCGAGTGGTTCCTCGACGATACTCGACCGCGTCTCTTCTATTTCTCTTCATTTTTTATCGTTTAGCCGGCAGAGTTTCCTTCGTTAAATCCAGGTACACTCTTCCGTCGAAAGGCAGTGACGGTTCTTCTGTGACGAGCAATTAAATAATTCTAGAGAAGTGATTTCATTCCCGAATTTAAATCTCTATTGCATTTTAAATAGTTGAAACTCGAGTGTAGTGATTCATCGAAGTCTGTTATAACTGAAGAGAGAGATTCTTATTTTCCGTATATCCACTGATAATCAGAACTGAAATCGAGTGGCTCGTGTACCTTGTGTAACAATTTATTCTTTTTAACACTGCTTTCAAATTTCCCTTCCTCCCCGCTTTTTCCTCAAGTAAAAACGTGACGCTCGCCGTGTGTCTATTTAAAGATATTCTTACAGGGAAGCGCGAGTTTGTCGCGCTTCTAAAATTACTTTGCATAAGCTAGAAGGGGGTGAAAGCACAACCGCGAGACTGACATTGACGCGTTTTCAATGTTTCTCCTACGGACAAATTGACTGTCTTGTTCCAGGGAAGCACGGATCTAGGGGAACCGCAGAAAATAGAAAGGATCGGCGAGACTTACCTGCCCTATTCCGTATTCTTCGAGTACTTAACGGGCCTGGGATCCTCCACGTTCGCGTGAGTTCGAATTTCAACGAAACGAGATAACTATTTTGACAATGATTACAAAAACCTCGGATTAATTACAGCCCGGGCACTTACGATATCTTTAAACATAATTGCAATTCTTTCACGGAGGAAGTTTGTAACTTCCTGGTGGGCAAAGGTATTCCCAAATACATTCTCGACCTGCCGGAGGAAATATTACAATCGTGAGCAAACAATTTTTACAACGAAGAATTTAACGAATCCGCGATTATTTGAAATTGCATTGTGCTTTTATCATTTAGACCGATTGGTCGAGGGATCGCAGAACTGATAGACGGTCTCACTGGCAATACGGCATTTATAGATCAAACATTCCTTCAACCAAGAAATCACAGAGAAGTCTCGCCGGAATTTCAGCTTTTAAATGAGGCCATCGAAGAAGCGAGGTAAGAATCTTCTTCTTGGCTCTATAATAAAACGTCGATGAGTCTTCATCTGAACCGTTGACGACAGATTGAACTCGATCGCGCTAGAGGAGAGGAGGAACGAGATCAACGAGAAGCTCGTGAAGAAGCTCACGAAGAAGGATAGAAAGAAAAAAAAGAAGAAGGAGGAGAAAAAGCAGAAGGCAAGCAAAGATAGCGGGACGAGCGATAGCAAGAGCACCGGTACCAGTAATTGCTCACATATGACGGAAAGCGAGAGTACGTCCACGGATGCTGTATAACTGTTCTATGAATGTAACAAAAATCCCAATTTTTGTTTCTTTTTCCTATAATAGGTACTGTGAGCGTGAGCGACATGCAAGCCACGAACGGTGAAAGCTCCGAGTTGTCGCCATCGGACAGAGTCGTGCAGATGGAGGAAGAAGAGAGGAAAGAACAGGAAGAGAAGAAACGGCGTCGGGATCCTCCTATAGTGTTCAAAGACATGGTGGATGTGAACGAAGATTACCAAGCGTTGACAAAGTCGTTGGAAGGGAAGTTGAACGACGAGGAGAAAGTGTGCATGACCGAGCTTCGACAGTACGTTCTGGAGAACGAAGGCTCTTGGGCGTTGGGCGACAACTTCTTGAACTTCGTAGGTGAGTCGAAACGTTTGAAGATGTTCAAAGATCCGCTCGTTCTACTTGTATCATACGTTACATTGTTTATGGGCGATATTTAGGCCGAATTCTGTACGATAAGTCGTTGGAAAGCGAGGCAAGAGTGAGATTGTTGAACATACTTTCTGCGGCCGCGTTAAAGGACGACGTGATCCTTTTGTTGCACCAGGACAGACGGGAACATACGATTATGAATTATGCGTTCGATATCGATCGTCATCCTCAGGAGGAACAGCTTCCTCTCGCACAATTTGTAAGCCGCTGAATCTAGCGAACGCGTGTTAACATCTGACGAATCTTTTAACTGTTCGATTGTTTATTATAGTTGGCAAACATGTTCGAAAATCTTAGTAGTTCGGAATGGCTGTTGTACATTTCGGAATGGCAGCATCAGAATCAGAATATCAGTAACATAAGGGTGACGACGAAGGTCGCGGTACACTCGTTGCTTTCGAACTCTATCGACTTGCAAATACGTGGAGCCGCTATTATTCACAACCTTGCCTGCAAGGAGGTAAAAACTGTGGTCTGTATCCGTCCTATCCGATTAACACTTTTCCTCATTTCGTTTGTTTCGACTCACAGCTGCACTCACATAGAGCTACGTACAGTGAAACTGTTTTCTCTCCTTTCGCAATCTCGCTTATGAAAATGCTGCCGTTATTAATTATAGCTTGTTACTATTCTCGCGAATAGAAGTGCTGCCTTTATTAATAAATCTGCGTACGTGTAAAACTGAGATCGAGGTTTTTAACCGTGTATCAAATTTGGTAAACTGATTCACGGACGAGCAACGAAATCATAATACTAAAAACGAATTACATTATAAATAGCAATGATTCAATAAGTATGTACACATCGAAATACTCGTTACTCGTTTGTATATCTGTGTACAATACTGCGATGCTGCAGTTGGAGTTAATGGATATCTATCGAGAGACCGGATACTGTTTTTTCAGAAAATGAACAAAAGCAAAAATCTGCGGCGACTTTTACCGAAAGGCAGCATTTCTAAGGTACTTGTCCGAACACCTGTAGGTATTTATCGTACATAATTTAACATCGTGTAAATCGTTCGCGTCCGCGAAGGATTGCGCAGTACGTTCGAACGAACTTCGAAAATAAACCTCGTCATCGTCAGCTTACTTTTACAAGATTTTGGAGAATGGTCTAGCTAGCATTTCATAAATTACAGAAAATATAAATAAAACGGTTTTTCTGCGCGTCCCTGCTTCCACGAGAATAACTTGTTTTCATCCCATCAGGTCTTTCGAACGATCGAGACACGGCCGTGATTTAATTCTAATAGCGTTTCGCTTTCCCTCTTTTTAATTCGACGTAGGTGTTCGACGACGTGGCCGTGGAGTTGACAATGGCGTTGTTGCAATATTTCAACGGTAGCCCTGCGGAGGAGCAGCTGTTCGCGTGCATGAAGTCGTTGGCGCGTTTCACGCAGATAAGTGGCCAAGACGTGCCACAGCTTATACAGATGATTGGACCGGAACCAAACAAGTTCCGTGGGACATCCGAGAGGATCGACGAGCAGATCGATCAGGTCAACAAAAAGTTGCGCTAACGCCTGATAGAATCGCGATGACAAGATACAATTCCAAAATCTATTCGCGAATCGAAACGACAAAATGTATTATAATTGAATTTTTACATAGAAATTTTGTGCACCTGCATATAGCGTACTATTATTATGATTATTATTATTATT